GCCAGTCAGGGGCCCACACTGAGGGGGGTGCGAGCAGGGGAGGGGTGGAGCGGGGTGGGGGGGGAGATAAGGATTTGCACTTTCCCCATGGGGCGCGTGGGCTGTTGGAGGCCTCTGACTTCAGGGGCTCTTCCATCAGACGTGTCCTGGCCCTGCCGTGTGCCTGAGAGGCTGGCCAGGCAGGAGCCCCTGCTCCTTCTGTAGATGAGGCCACTGGGGCCCAGAAAGGGCAAGCTGTGCCTCAGGGGCACCCAGCCGGGACTGGGACCAAGATATCCTGTCCTGTGTCCGTGCTCTGGGGCTCACTGGGGTGGGGGCAGCATCAGATGTCCTGGGGACTCCAGGCTCCTGTTCCCCTTCCTGGCTGGGGAAGAGGGACCCTCAGCCACACTCATGCAGCAGGCTGCCCCCATTGAGGCACACCTGGCTCCTGCCCCAGGCTGAAGGCTTGCAAATTGCACCAAGAACAAGAACCAAATAAGCCTGCTCTGAGAGAGGGCGAGTGAGAGCCATGGGGGGACTGGAGAACTAGAGGCTGGAGGGCTTCATGAGTAGCTGGGGTGAGAATCAGGGAGGACTGCCTGGAGGAGGAGGGTTTGGCTGGGGAAGGGTATGGAGGGAGCTGAGGTAGAAAGGATGGTTTAAGGCACATGGTGTGTCTTCCCCCGCCCCCCCCATACACCCAGCCCCCTCTTCCCTAATTTCTCCTCTTCGTACTTTGACTTATGCACTGTGTCTGTCTCCCTCACGGCTCTTTCTCTTTCTCTCTGTTCTCTGTCTCTCTCAAATTCACTTTCTCTTTCTCTGTTGCTCTCTCCTCTCCCTGGCGCCAGCGGGATCTGAGGGCAGAGTGTGCCTGTTGGACCTGTTTGGCTAATTACTTGACCGTGGGCATAAAAAGGGAGGATTAGCTGGGGTCCCTTGGGGTCCTCCCTGACTCCCTAATCCCCCGGCCCCTCTTCTCTGGCATGGAAGGGATGAACTCGTTCTAAGTCCCTAATTAGCTAATTATGCCTTGGCTCTGTGGCCCTGGGACTCCCCGGGCCCCAGGGAGGGCGGTGAAGTGAGCTGGCCCAGCTGCGCAGGGAGGAGAGATGGGGCTGCCACTCAGGGAAGCCAGGCGCAGTTTGCCGGAGCCTTTCAGAATTTCAATATCCTGGAGAACAAGGGAAATGTAATTAATTGAGCAACAAAGGCGGCCCGAGGGACCAGGCTGGGACTGTGCTGGGCCGCCTCCTCCGGGCCTTTCCGATCCAGCCTCTTTCCAGCCGCTGCCAGGCCCTTTGTGCCTGCCTCCTGCCTCTGCCTGGGCCTCCAGGCTTGCCCCTTCCCCTTTAAAGCCCAGAGCTGGTCAAGGGCTCTGCCTGCTTTGAAATCTGGCCAGGCAGTCACCTCTCACACAGGGAGCCCCCACTCGCCAGGCGAAGTGTGCTTTCGCTTGCTTGCGCAGCGCCTCCGTCTGGCATCCTGCAGAGTCCAGCTCAGCAAACGTGCCTGGAGCTGCCCCCACCCCCACGCGTGGCCCGTTTGCTCAGCACCCTGGTCCCACTGTGCCCTGCTGCTAGCTAGGAGCTCTGAGGAGGGTCAAAAATGGTTCTTGTTTGTCTTTGACTTTTTCTTTTTTTAAAGACAGGGTCTCACTCTGTCGCCCAGGCTGGGGTGCAGTGGCACGATCATAGCTCACTGCAGCCTCCAGCTCCAGGGCTCAAGTGATCCTCCCTCCCCAGCCTCCTGGGTAACTGGGACTACAGGCACCACCACGCCCTGCGAGGGGCTTGTTTGTCTTTGGATTCTCCGTGTGTCCAGGGTCGCACCTGGCAGGAAGCAGGCATTTATTACGTGTTTCCTGAACGAATGAATAAGTGAATGAATGACAGGGCACCAGAAGGACCTGCAGTTGACACACACAAGTCCGTGGGTCCACTTGGATGGCTCACTAGGGCGCTCGTCCTATTTCCTTGCTTCTCCACACACCCCTCCCTCCCTGGATGGGGGGTGGGGAGGGGGCACCGAGCCCTCAGCCTGGCCTGCTCTTGGTGGGATGAGGAGCAGCCTGCGAGGAGCTCCATGGCCTCTCCTGAGCGGAGGCTGACCTAGTTTTGTGGGGAGGGAAGATGGGGGCAGCCATTAATTATTGATTGGAAGTCACTGTACACAGAGTTTGTGATGCAAATTCCAAATAATTACCGTCATTAATAACCACCTCAGCATCACGCCTGGAATAAGCAACCTGGACAGGGCCACTGTTCTACTTGTCACCATCCTTCCGTCCTCCTCTCTCCAATCTTCCACTCTCTCCCCGTGAGTTATCACATTATTCGTCCTTGAGAAGTCACTCGACCAATGTTAGCTGAGCCTGTCTTCTGGGCCAGGACCTGCTGGGTTCCGGGTAACTTAGACACAGGCCCGGCCCTCAGGACCTTACGGCCCAGTGGAAGGGACAGAAGGGCAAACAGACAACTATACACTGGGGCTAGAAGAAGACCAGACGTCGATGTGAACAGAACCTCCTGGGCTGTGCGGTATTCAACCTGCACAACCGCACACGGCAGCCTAGGCTAGGTCAGAGGTGCTGAGATTGCCTAGAACAGAAGAGAGGGGTGACCCAAGGGACCCCAGCTACCTGAGATGGGGTGAGAAAGAGCCTGGAAGGCTTCTCAGAGAGAGAGAGAGAGCTTTAGCAGGGCTGTGGCGGCTGAATAAGGGTTTGCCAGGTGCAAGAAAGGTGCAAGGGCGTTCCAGGCAGAGAGCGCAGCAAGGGTGAACGTTCGGAGGTGTGAAATCCCATGGCGCGCTTAGGGGCTGCCGAATAATTTGCTACTGCTAGGCACAGGGTGCAAACTGAGGGAGACCGAGATGAAGCTGGAGAGGTGGGCGGTGTGGACCCCACAGGATCTTGGGCGGTGCACTCAAGGGTGGTCAACCAGCTCTTGACCCTCTTGGGGGCCTCAGTTGTGTGGACCTTCACTCCAGAATATTCATGGTGTCATCCCTGCATATTTTATGGCAATTTCATAAGGTTCATGGACCTCTTGGAGTCCCTCTGTGGACCTGCACGCCGGGGGCCCATCAATTCCAGCTTCCGCAGGTGATGGGAACCCAGAGTTTTCACACACGGTGGTGACATGCTCAGATTTGTGTTCCGGAGAATGGCCATTGTCAAGAATTGCCCCTCTTTTTGTCTCTGCACTCTGCTTTCCCTGGGGAGGCTTCCGCTTTGCTGCCCTCCCACGCAAGACGGCCCCAGCCACTCCAGGCTCACCTCCCACCTTGCGCCCTCTGCAGAAAGAGCGCATCCTTTCCTTGCAGTTCTAGCAGGAGTCCCTGGGCTGACTCTCATTGGTCCTGGCGAGGTCACGTGCCCATCCTGGACCTATCACTGGGGATGGGGGAACAGAATACGCTCATTGGCCTGGCCTAGGTCATGTGATCTCTATGTCAGCCACACCCAAACAGCATGGGCTGGAGTCCCTGAGTGTGCACTTTTCAGAGACCCTTGAAAAGGTGCAAGACCGCTGAGGCAGCCAGTGACTGTGGTGGCTGGATCTTCATGGGTGAAGTCAGGAGGGAGTGAATGACATACAGACAGTAACTGGAACCATGACAGTTAGTGGCATGACCCAGCGTAGGAAGAGCTGGGTCCATTTCACAGCCTGTGGTGAGATGACATGGACAGTGCACATGGGTGACACCCCAGCAGGAGGGGCAGAGGGGCGGGAGGGGAGGCAGGGGTGAGGTGCACATGGGTGACACCCCAGCAGGAGGGGCAGAGGGACGGGACGAGAGGGGAGGCAGGGGTGAAGGGTGGTGAGTATGTGAGGAGGGGCCAGATGCTGAACATGTTCTCCGTGGGGTGGGAGCCGCAGCGTTTGCTGAGAGTTGGGTGTGGCCCCTGAGCTAGGTGGCCGCTGTCTTCTTGGGCCACTTTGCTGAAGGTCCATGAGGGGAAGGGTCAAGGCCCCACAGGTCATAGCCAGCAGGGCCAGGGTTTGAACCTGGGTCTCTCAGAGGCCTGTGCCTTCCACAGGCTTTTTCCCCCCACCTGCTGGGTTTTCATGGTGGCAGCGTCCTCCAGCCTGTGACTAACGTCCACACGACCACTTTCCTATCTGCCCAGATCCCTCTTTGGTTACCCTGCTGTCTTCCCTGGGGACTCCTGTCTCCACTGCCATTTCCCCATTCTCTCCTGTGTCTCTGGCCGAGCTGGTTCACCCCAGCTATTTCGTGGGAAGAGAAAAGTCCTCTTCTGATATCGGCTGGATCTGCGCCCCTCAGCAGGCCCATGTCTCCTCTGAAGGTGGCTCTGGGGGCTCTGCCTGGTTCCATGATGCAGTCGGTGGGGCAGGTCATTCTGGTCGGTACTGGTGTGTCCTGGCACGGCCAAGGGGACAAGTGACTGCCCTGGAGATGAAGGGCATTCAGGACACATTCACTGGGCACCTACTGTGATCACCCTGTGTGGGGTCTGGGCATACTGAGATGAGCCAGCCTCGGTCCTAGGCCTCTGGGGACAAAAGTGTTGTGGCAAGAGGGCTAGAGTTGGTGACAGGACACCTGGTTGAAATTCAGACCTTGCTTCCTCTTAGCTGTGTGACTTTGGGCAAGTAGCTTCGGTTCTTGAACCTCCAGTCCCCTCGTCTGTAAAATAGGAATAACATCACCAACCTCAGAGAGTTGTCACAAAGGCTGAAGGGGATCACATTTGAGAGGTACCTAGAAGAGCACTGGGCACATGAAAGGTGCTCCACAAATGCCTGCTTGTTCACCCACACTCTAGTGTAAGTGCAGCGGGGCCCAGAGCCATTTGCACGGCTTTCAGAGTGAAGGGCAGATACGAAGGAGATGGTGTAGCCGGCAGCCACCGAGCAGGCTGGGAGCACCAGGGAGCCCCTGCCAGTGTGTCCCCATCTTTCCTCCCACCATCCCTCTCCCTGTTTCTCTAACCTTGCTCTCCCTCTGTCCCCTCCGTCTGACAGCCCCTGCATTCTTCCTCCTCGCAGGTATGCGGATCCTGGTGAACCTGCTGCTGGACACGCTGCCCATGCTGGGGAACGTGCTCCTGCTCTGCTTCTTTGTCTTCTTCATCTTCGGCATCATAGGCGTGCAGCTGTGGGCCGGCCTGCTGCGCAACCGCTGCTTCCTGCAGGAGAACTTCACCATGTGAGTGCGCCCGGCGGCCTTCCGGCTCCCGGTGCCCCGTCCTAAATCCGCAGTCCTGGGAACAACTCTCCTGGTTATTGGGAATGGAGACCCCCAGGGCAGCAGCAGCAAACAGGGGGAGGTCGGGTCAGAGGGGAAAGGGAAGCCAAGGTACAAGCAGAATGATGCCAATGGGGAGAAAGGAGACAGGAAACCTGAACAGCAGGCGCAGAACCTGGCGCTGTGCACAGCCCAGGTGTTCCTGGGTGGCTCTGAGTCATTGGGAGGTCGGCTCCCGTTCGGCCATTTGTGCCTAAAAGCAGGAGGTGGGACCCTCCGTGGAGAGATGATTGTCAGATGCTGTTTAAACATAAATCAAGCTGCGGCTCTTGGAGGAGCTGGGCTTAGTTGTCTGAAAAATGGGACATCTATAGGACCCCTTCTTCCCTTGTGGTTGAATAAACATACACACACCTACATGTACGTATGCATACGTGTTTGGACATAAATATGCTTTCATTTCTATTGATCATGTGCATTAGTGCACACCTACTGTGTGCCAGGCCCTGGGGAGTTAGAAGTAGAAAAGCGTTTTCATTCGTTCTCACACTTGACAAATGCACCAAGTGGCTCCTTTGTGGATGCCGGGCTCGGCGCTCAGCATGCGGCCGCAGAGAGGGGTTCCTGCCCTTGGGGGTCCAGGCTGGGAGCTGACCCTGGACGCCCCTGCTGAGTGCCGGTCATGGCCGGAGGACGGCTGTCGGAGGCTGTCGGAAGCTGTCGGAGGCGTGGGACCCTGCATAGGGCTGGGCTGGGTTCTCCCCTCCGGGCCTGTCTGACTGGGGAGAGCCGGGCTTGCGGAGTTGAAGGTTGGGTAGGAACTTACCCACCCCCATCGCTGTGGGGAACCTGGGTAGACCAGAGAAGGGGCATCTTTGTGCCCTGTGTGAGGCTGGCGGGCTTGGAGGCAGGGCCGGGGCAGCGGGGTGGGGGAGGGGCTGCTGCTGCTTCTGGTCTGGCCTTCAGAGACAGGAGTGGGCGTGAGCGCTTAGCCTTGGGGGTTCAAGACACCGTCCAGTCCTTTTGACCCCCATGATTCTCTCTCTATATCATGCTGTGGCTGGCACCTTCTCATTGTCCAGCTCAGCCACCTGTCACTCCTCCTGGAGGCCTTTCCTCACCCCCCACTCCGCACCCCCCCCCAGCATACTATTGCACTATCCTGCTAGATTTTCCTAATCTGTTTCTGAGACAGTCTCACTTGTCAGTTGATTTACTTGGTCGTTGGGTATCTCTAGACTGGCTTGTCTGCTCGGGTTTTGGATGCAGCAAGAAGGCAAGGCCCCCACAGGGGCAGCGGCACCTGCTTGTTCCTCTTTCCTGGGGCCTAGGACAGGTGCTCCCCCCCACCCCCAACTGTTGACGGGCCGGATGAAGAGTGGTTGAATGGTGAATGAGTGAATGAATGAATGCACTGACCACCTGGAGGCAGGCTGGGGGTGAGCACCGTGGTCCTTCCCAGGCCTTCCAGGTGGAGATGTCCTGTCCTGACTCCTGGGTGTCTGTTTCCCTGTGCCCCTGCCCTCCCCGCCCCCACCCCGTGCCTCGGGCCAGGTGAGGTGGCTCCAGCCCTGCCTCGGCTGTCACGGAGGAGTTGGAGGGAGGGTGCTGGGGACGTCTTGGGCCAGGGAGTAAAGAGGAGCATTATCCAACCCACCCCACCCCACCCCTGGAAAGGGAATAATAAATGCAAATAAATGTCAAAGGAGGAGCAAAGCCCCGGGGGGAAGATGTTGGGTGACCTCCACCACTCCTCTTGGGAGCTCTGGGTTTCATTTTCTTAGGGTGGGTGACATCAACTTACACAGCCTCCTGGTTCGGCTGGCAGACAGCCGAAATTGCATGGAGAAAGAGGTCAGTAAAGTTCAGGTCTGGATGGAGAGCAAGGCCAAGGTCATCCCAGGTCTACGACCACCATGCAGGGGAGGGAGGTTTGGACTTTACCTGGGAAGGTTGGTAATCAGGGTTCACCAAGACGCAGCAAGATCTCTTTTTGATTGATGGCGGTGGGGGGGGGTGTCAGAAAGCTGGAATTTGAGGAGATTCTACTCAGGACACGGGGGACCAGGCTGGGTCACGGGCAGGGGCAAGGTGCACATGCATCCATGAATTCCCGGTGTCCTTGTGTGCTCTCCCCTGTGGGCCTGTTGCCCGGAGGCCTCTCAGAGCACCCCAGCCCTGGCTAGCTGGCCCTGGCGGCTGGGCAGAGCCGGTAGGCAGGGCGGAGGGGGCCCTTCCCGGGATGTAGCACCATGCGGGTCAGAGGTGAAGCCTCAGAGAGCCTCAGTCCAACTTGTCACTCTGCAGAGGAGGACTGAGTGCTAGAGAAGAGAGGGGCTCACCTAGGGCCGCACAGCAAGGGGCCCACCGAGCAGCCAGCCTCCCCCCCGGCCTCGTGGGCGTCAGGACACTGCATGACCACACAGACATTCCCCGGCTGCTGCCAGGCTGTGCCGCGCCTGGGGATGCGGAGACCCTTCATCTTGGCCTCCACACTCAGCTCGCCATCCAGCGTGGGACTCAGATGTGTGGACAGTGAGGGCTCGGAGTGCCCTGCCCCATGGCAGAGGCGCACTCCTCCCATGTGCCAGGCCGGGAAGAGGGAGCCCGGGGAGAGGGCTGGGAGCCCAGGGGAGGTAGAGAGCAGCCTGGGCAGGGGCAGAGGGGAGAGGGCTTCTTGCTTCTCGGAGGGTGTGACCTTGAGCTGAGCCTGGAAGGACAGGAAAAATGTCTTCAGGCAGGCAAGTGGGGGCGGTGGGGAGAGTGTTCCTGACAGAGGCCCCCACCCCCTGCTGCCGCAGCGTGGTGTAGGGGCTCGGAGCGGGGAGCCAGGGCCTGACCTTCAGGGTCAAATCCTGCCTCTGTCACTTGCTAGCACCCCTGGGTATTTACCCAAAAGAAAGGACGGCTTATATCCACCCAGAGACGTGCACAAGAATATTTATGAGTCATAAGAGCCAAAAAATCAGAAACACCCCAAATCATCAGTAGAATGGATAAGTAAGCAGGAGCATATTCACTCAGTGGACTCGGCACAGAAATGAAAAAGAAGGAATTACTTTTTTCACTCTTAATGGTGTCTTTTGATGAACAGAAACTCTTAGTTGTAAAGAAGTCTAGTTTATCAGTCATTTCTCAGCATTGCTTTTGGTGTCCAGTTTTAGAAATCTTTTCCAAACCCAAGGTCATGAAAAATATTTCCTGGTGCTTTTTTTCAGGAGGTTTCCTTTTTCATCTTTCATATTTAGGTCGATATTCCATCTCAAATCATTTTGTGTATGGCGTGTCGTGGTGCTGGTGGGGTGTCGAGATCCATTTACTTATTTTTAATGGACAGTCAGTTGTCCCAGGACCATTGATTGGGAAGTGCATCCTTTTCCGCTGAATTGCAGGAGCGCCTTTATCAGAATCAGGTGATCGTGTGTGTTTGGGTTGGATGTGCACATTTTCATTGTTGATGGGTATGCCATGTCGCCCTCTGAGAAGGTCGTACCACTTTACACTGCCACCAATGTGTGAGACTGTTCACACTCATCCTGCCCTACGCTCAATGTTATCAAACGGAAGTGTTTGTCATTTGGATGGATATAAAATGATCTCATTGCTTTTGTTTTCATCTGGTTATTTTGTTGCATTAATGAGGTGAGCATTTTTTATTGGCCATTTGTATTTCTTCTGTGAATTTTCTCTTCTTATCTTTTGTTCTTTTTTTCCTCCCTAGTGGGTTCTTCTCCTTTTTCTTACTGAGTTATGGAAGATTTTAATATGTTTTAGATAGTTATCATTTATCTCTTTTATATGTTGCAAATACTTTGTCCCAGGAAATGGTAACCAGTGGCCTGCTTTTGTAAATAAAGTTTTATGGAAACACAAGCATGCACACTTGTTCGCCCATTTTCCTGTGACTGTTTTCATGTTACAATGGTGAAGTTGAGTAGTTGGGACAGAGGCCATGTGGTCTGCAAAAAATATTTGCTATCCAGCTTATTACAGAAAACATTTGCCTACCTTTGCTTTATTCCAATTTGTTGCTTGTCTTCTTACTTTGTATGGTATCTTGTCTTTTTTTTTTTTTTTTCTTTTGGTTCCATTGGGCAGTTTCATGGTATCTTGTCTTGTAGACATTTTACATTTGTGTAATATATAGTCAGTCTCATCTACCTTTTCCTTTATAAAATTTGGATTTTGTGTCATCTAGGAAGGCCTTACCTAACCTGAGTTAACAAAAATATTCCATATTTTCTTATAATATTTTTGTGGTTATATTCATTGCATTTATACTTTTTAATCTACTAAAAGTTTACTATTTTAGTTTTATAATGTATTTTGCTTAACCTAATATATCCAAATATTAATTTCAATGTGTAATCAATATAAAGATTAATAATGAGATAACTTATATATGTATTTTTGGATGCCAGGTCTTTAAGAAGTTTATTTTTATATAGGGTGTGAGGTAGGGATCTAACTATTATTTTGCAAATAGAGAGCAGTTGTCATAATACCATTTACTGACCAGTCCTTCCTTTCTCTATAGGTCTGAAAAGCTGTCTGCATAACATACTAATCTCCCCTTTATACGTGGGTTTGCCTTTGCACTCTATGATATTCCAATGATCCTTCTGTTGCTGTTATAGTAATACATTGTATTGATAATTATAGTAGTGGAGTATTTTTCTCTCTCGTAGGGTTGGTTTCCATTCATTCATTTTTCTACCTTTAAAGACTTGTCTTGACTATTTTCCCATGCAGATAAATCTCAGAACCATCTGGCCAGGTTCCACAGACAAAAACATGCTGGGATCTTGACTGGGGTTGTAGTAAAATGTAGATGAACCCTTCAGGATGGGCAGATCAGGGATTGCCATCTCTGTTTTATAGATGAGGAAAGAAGATCCTACCCTCATCTGCTGGATGAGTAAAATTCAGCACTTGTTTATTGAGCACCTGCTCTGTGTCTGCCGGACAGTGTTCAGGGCCTGGGGGTCTGGGTGCATCCACTGCAGGAGCAAACTGGAGCTGTGTGCAAGGCACAGCATGGCCACAGGGAGCCCAGGACCAGCCCTGCCTGATCCTGGGGAGGCTCCCTAGAATAGGGGCCCTTGGAGGTGGACCACAGCGGGTCAGTAGGAGTTTTTGCGGCCATAACAGAGGTGAGAAATGGTGTTCCAGGCAGGGCAGATGTTCCAAGGCTGGAGGCAGTGATGGCTGGTGACAGCAGTGATGTGCTGCCACTCTGTGTGACCTCTCCCTTCCTGAGCCTCCTGGCATTGACCCTCCTTTCTCCTCTCTCGCCCACCCTCACCTGTGGACAGACAAGGGGATGTGGCCTTGCCCCCCTACTATCAGCCGGAGGAGGACGATGAGATGCCCTTCATCTGCTCCCTGTCTGGGGACAACGGCATCATGGGCTGCCACGAGATCCCCCCACTCAAGGAGCAGGGCCGTGAGTGCTGCCTGTCCAAGGACGACATCTACGACTTCGGGGCAGTGCGTCAGGACCTCAATGCCAGCGGCCTCTGTGTCAACTGGAACCGCTATTACAATGTGTGCCGCACAGGCAGCGCCAACCCCCACAAGGGCGCCATCAACTTTGACAACATCGGTTACGCCTGGATCGTCATCTTCCAGGTGAGCCTGCTCAGGCCTGAGACTGACCTGATGCTGCGGCCAGGTGGGCAGCTCCACATGCTGGGCATGTGCCACCCCATCTTCTTGGAATCTGCCCAACTTGCAGGCACAATAGGCATTACCATGCCCATTTTACAGACAGAGAGCCTGAGGTTCAGAGAAAGGAAGCAAGCTAGTTGGCCAAGGATCACGTGACTATTAAATGGCAAAATGAGGATTTTAACCCTGCTCTGGGTGACCCCAAAGCCTGCACTGTTTGCAGAATGCCGGGTTGCCTGAGGCAGGTGGCTCCCAGCAGGGAGGTCTGTTCACAGAGAGAAGAGGCAGGAGTCATGCTCTGTTGGAGGGGCTGGCAGACCAAGGGGAGGGGACATTCCTTGTGGGGGTGACAGCCTGAGCTGCAGGGAGCAGCAAGGAGCCCAGTTCGTCTGGCCCTGTGACCCCGTGCACGTATGCACACGTTCCCGGAGCTGCACTCGCTGTGTGCAGAGCGCCACGCTGACTGCGCAGCCTGCACGCCGCAGACGGGTGGGGTGTGCTTGGGGCCTGGGGCTGTGGACCTTGGTGCGCTGCTTGACCTCTCTGTGCCCCAGTTTTCTCATCTTTCACATGGGGTAATAGTCCCCCTCACCTCGGGGTAGCCGGGAAGAATAAACCAGACGGGGTGAGCAGAGCAGTCAGCGTGTGCAGTGAGTGCTCCCTTCCCGCCAGCCTCAGGAGGCAGAATGGGGCAAGAGCAGGGGAGGGGACCGAGGGGCCCCTGGGGAGGTGGCGAGGGGGCCCTCATGGAGCTGAGCTCTCACCTTGCTCCGCGGAGCTGCAGCGTCAGGAATTCAGAGCTGCGGGTCCGTGGGATCACAGCCCAGCTGCTGGGCCTTGGGACCCGCTGGCGAGAGGGTGGGGGGCTGCTGGGGGGCTCCCGCTTGTGCATTTGTCAGAAGCAAAGACCCAGCGTGTGTCTTTCCCAAGGCTGCTCCGTCTCCCTCTCTGGGAAGGGGGTGGGTAGGGTGGGGGGTGGCAGATCACACCAGCCGAATCACAGTCTGCACCCCCGGGTCAGCCGAGCAGCACCCCATCACTGCCAGGTGGACTCCGTTGTCCCATGTGCGGAAGAAGTGGCTGAGGCCAGAGCGGGGGAGCGGGGAGGCCACCGGGCAAGCTGGAGCCCGACCCTGGGGTCCCTGCTTTTGCAGCCCTCCCACTGGCATGTAGGCTAGAAAGGGTGTGGGCTCTGGGGCCAGAGGACCCGGGGTTCAAGTCCTGGCTCCACTCCTTCCTGGCTGTGTGACTCTGGGCAAGTGCCCTCCCCTCTCTGAACCTCAGTTTCCTCGCCTGTGCGACGCAGATGAGGGTGGCTGCCTGCCAAGCCCTCGTGACAAGGGCTGGAGTTTGTGTGTGAGACTTGTCCCAGCACACAATAGGGCCTCTGCCTGGGGTGCTCCCCGGCTGCCTGCCCTGCCGAGGGCCAGGTCCAGGCTGTCTGTCCTCTGCCGGCTGCAGGTGATCACTCTGGAGGGCTGGGTGGAGATCATGTACTACGTGATGGACGCCCACTCCTTCTACAACTTCATCTACTTCATCCTGCTCATCATAGTAAGTGGCAGGGCACCTGGGCTCTGGGGCAAGCACGGGGCGCCCAGGGGACCGCGGAGGGGAGGGTCTTGGGGGGCCCCAGGGAGCCCCTCAGGGCCAGGAGAGCTGGCGGGAGGGGCAGGAGGAGCTATTTTAAGTGCGGCCGACCGGCGGGTGATTGAGGGGGCTCGTCAGGGGCGGCCGCTGGAAGCATCTATCACTTTCTATTGCCGTCATTTCTCATTTCTGGGCATTTAAGTCCACCCGGTGCTCCTGCTGCGCTTCTGCGCCTCGTCGCTCTGGGAATACGTTCCTTTCAAGACCTGAGCCGGGTGCAGCCTCGGGATGGGGCTCGCAGGGCTCCGGCTTGTCCCTGCTTTCCTGGGGCGGGAAATCGCAATGCTCTGAGACTGAAGCCCCAGGCTGCTCCTGGAGCAGGGTGTGCAGGGAGGAGGTCACCCTGGTGGTGACCTGGTGGAGCTCTCTGAAATTCTCAGGGGTCTCCCACTCGGGCAGCTCTGCCACGTGGGGGTGACCTGGGGGCGGGGGCGGCTCATCCTTCCCTTCCAGCCCAGCCCCTCCTCCCAGCCCCCACACAGGCTCCCCAGAGCGAGCTCATCCACCTTGTCATGCCTGACTGCCACTTCTGCCACGGCACGCACCTCCAAAATGTCAAGGTGATTCACTCCCGGGAAAGTCGCTGCTGCGAGGCTGGGTGCTCTGGCCTCCTGGTGGTGGGAGAGGACACGCTTGGCCCTCTTGAGCAGTGCCCCACCCCAGGCTGGCAGGTGACCTGGGGCACACCTACTGTTGCCTTAGCTCTGGTGCCTTCCTGGGGAGGCTGGGGCCTTGGACCCCTGAGACACCCTCGATGAAAGGAGAGGGCCCAGGTTTTATTCAGCATTGCCACAAGTGCCCTTGTGTATCCATTCACCAGAACGTTCAGGAAGCCCACGCTGCACCAGGCCCTGAGCCGAGTGCTGGTCACAGAGCAGTGGGCCAGGCCTGACCCCTGCCCGTGAGGAGCTCACAGTCTCGTGGGAAAGAGGGGCCGACAGCGGACAGTGACCATGCAGCGTCATAGGCACCATGACAGAAGGAAGCCCGAGGGGCTGAGGGAGCCCTGAGGAGGCCCCTGATCCAGCCTGGAGGAGGGCAGGGAAGTCGAGGGCTTCCTGGGGGAGGTGATGCCAGTTGGGCCTTAAAGCCTCGGGAAGAGCCTCTGCAGCAGGGCTGGCTCACAGAGACCCTGAAGCCGGTCAGAATCCTGCAGTGGGGGCCACAAACCACTGGGGTGGCCAGAGGAGCCTCCAGTTTTGGGGCGGGGGCTGGAGACACTCCCTCTGCTCCCGCTGGCGGGTTCAGGGTGGGGGTCTGGAGTTCTTAACTCGCAGCGTGACTCTGGGCAGCTCCTTAGCTCCCCTCGCTCGTGATGAAATGGGGAACAGTGACAGACCTAGCTCTGGGCTCCAGGAGGGTTAGGTGCGACAGAGCCTAAAGCCTGCATAGCGCTTGCACACAGTAAGTGCTCAATACATGTGCCCTGCTATTAGTATTGCTGCTGTTGTTGGGCCCCAGGTGGCTCTGTCGCAGGACCAAGGGGGCTGGCGGGAGGCTGAGGCTGCTGAGTTGTTCCCGGTGCTGGGAAGGGTCCAGAGAGCAAAGTCCCAGCCACCACGCTGCCCTGTCACCCCCCGGCCCCGCCGTGCAGGGTCACGGTGAGGTGAGGTGCCTGGCCTGGGTCACACAGGGGTGAAGGGTCCTTAGCCCTCAAACCCGGTCCCCAGCTCTCCTGATTAGAGGAGTCCTCTGCTCATCTGGCCTGAGCCTCCCATCTTATAGAGGGGGAAGTGGAGGTGCAGGGGGGTGGGGGATGCCTGGGTTACCCAGGGGAAGTAGGGGTGCAGGGGTGGGGGCTGTCTGGGTCATGCAGGGAGAGTGGGGGTGCAGAGGGGTGGGATTTGCCTGGGTCACCCAGGGGAAGTGGAGGTGCAGGGGTGGGGGCTTTCTGGGTCACCCAGGGGAAGTGGGGGTGCAGGGGTGGGGGCTGGCTGGGTAGGGCTGGACAGAGGCTCCCAGGAGAGGGCACACCCGCTGCTTCCCCCCTCACCCGGGCTGGTGCAGGGCCGCTCTCCAGGAGATGCTGGGAACCAGGTGACTGAGACAGGGCATGAGGGGCCTGAGTGGCAGGGATTTCCCCAGAGCCCTCTGGGCCAGCAAGCCCCCCACGCCCCGGGACCCCAGCTCACAGTCGTGCTGAGGGGGAGGAGGGACAGATCAGTGAAGGGCTGTGACCTGCAGGAACCTCCTGGCGGGCAGCTTGGAGGAGGAGGAGAAGCTACTCCCCTCTGGCCGGCAGAGGCTTGGCAGAGGCTAGGGGAGGGGGCTGTGCCCTGAAAACCCAAGAGGTGGACAGGAGGCTGCCCCTGGAGCCGGGCAGGGGACGCGAGGGCAGGAGGGCAGGATCCTTCGTGCTAACCGGGCGGCCTCTCCCCACCGACCCCATCCACGCACAAGCAAAGCCGCTGGCTGGAGAAACCCGAGGGAAGCTTCTCTTCTCTGGTCTGTGGGCCCAGCTGAGGCCAAAGTCCAGGCCAGAGAGAGGGCGGGGCTGGGCTCGGACTCAGGGCCTGGGTGGCCCAAGAGTGGCTGTGGCCTCCCTCCCTGGCCTCCCTGCCGATCTCCCAGGCGGGATGGCGGCCGTGGCCAGGGCCTGGGGTCTGCGGGGAGCCGGGCTTGGGAACAGGCCGCAGTCTGGCCAGGGGAGCGACCGCCTTCTCCTGGAGTGAGGCCTCAGTGATCTCTTCCTGTCCCCATCTGTGTCTGTGCCTGTCTCTCTGGGCCCCTCCACCTCCCCTGCTCCCTCTCCTGTCCCTGCCTGCCCCCACTGTGCCTCTCCTACACCATCCCTGTCTGTCCCCCCTGAGCCCGTCCCACTCTCTCTCCTGTCTCTCGTTGTCGCCATCCTTCTGTGTCCTGGCTGTCTCTTGCCCTCTGTCTCCCTGCTCTGTCCTCTGTCCTCCATCTGTGTCTCTGGTCTGTCCCTGCTTCCTTCCTTGCTTCATTTCTGCCTCTGTATCCTTCTGTCTCCGTCTCTGTCTCCGTGTCTCCCGGTCTCTCATCTCCCTTTGTCTCCCTCTCTGTCTCCCCTCTCCCACCCACTGTCCCCCTCCCTGTCCCTGTCCCTGTCCTCTCCTCCCGTTGGTCACAGGTGGGCTCCTTCTTCATGATCAACCTGTGCCTCGTTGTCATAGCGACCCAGTTCTCGGAGACCAAGCAGCGGGAGCACCGGCTGATGCTGGAGCAGCGGCAGCGCTACCTGTCCTCCAGCACAGTGGCCAGCTACGCCGAGCCCGGCGACTGCTACGAGGAGATCTTCCAGTACGTCTGCCACATCCTGCGCAAGGCCAAGCGCCGCGCCCTGGGCCTCTACCAGGCCCTGCAGAGCCGGCGCCAGGCCCTGGGCCCGGGGGTCCCTGCCCCCACCAAGCCCGGGCCCCACGCCAAGGAGCCCAGGCACTACAGTAAGTGGCCCTGCCTGTCAACCGGGGACGCAGAAGGGCGCTGTGTGCAAAGGTGTCGCACCTGCCCTGCCAGGAGAGGAGTCCAGCAGGCTCAGACTTCTAGGCTTTCATTTCACGCTCAGCCGTTTCCTTCGCAGCCCTCCCTGCCCTCTCCCAACCCCGTCACCTGCCAGAGCCTGCCCTGGGCCAGCCCTGTGGTCGGGGGCCTCGGCCCTTGCCCTGAGGACTTGCCTCCGATCGCTGTGTGTGCAGACAAGGACTCTGCCCCTGGGATCCACACTTGCGAGAAACGAACAGTTTTCTGTCCTCGGTCTTGTAAAACCAAAATTCCTCCCCCAGCGCAGCCTGCCTCGCTCTGCGCTCTGGGTTCCTGCTGCCGTCTCCTGCCCCCCGCGCCTGAGCAGTGACGTCTGGCAGCTGGCACAGGGGCCGTGGCCTGCCACAAAGGCATGGCATGGTGGGGGCCCACTCCACCCTGCTCTCTGCCCCCACTGCCTGGGCTCCGCTGTGGACGGGTGTTCTGGGCGTCAGATTTTCAGCCTGGGACAGGCTCTCCCGCTCATCACCGCATCTGCTCCAGGAAACGGTCTCGGGAGTAACATGATCCCCAGTTTTCAGATGGGAAAACTAAGGCCCAGGGTGAGGCAGGGAGTCACCTATGGTGTCGCAGGATCTCGGGATGTCCGAGTTGCCAGGGCGTTGCTGAGCGCCTGCCCAGCCGGAAACGAGCCTCTCCCTCAGGAGGAGGCAAACCCGGCCACGGGAGGCCCTGCCCCTGGCCCGCCCTTTCTCTCCGCTGGTGCTGAGAGGGACCGACCTCAGCAGGCGTTGGCACCGGCCCTGGAGCCGCTGGAAAGTGCGCTGTGCCCCTGACCTTGAGCAGGCCTGGCTCCTGGCCATACAGTGAGGATGGGACCCCCTAGCAGTGGTCACGGGCCGTGGGAGCCATCCACTTCAGGCCCTGCTGCGGAAAGCCCTGCTCCTCCGTGCTCGTGTCCCGGGAGTCATATTCCTGGGAGGCAGGCGGGAGAATTCGTCCTCAGAGCTGCCACCCACCCATCCTCGGGTGCCAGCCGTCCAGGCGTGGTCTTGGGGGAAGGCCTCAGGCGGCCCCTGGGCTGGCCCAGCACCGGGAAGGGGGAGCTGGGGTCTGGGCAAGGCTGGCACCTGCCTTTCTGGGGTGTGTGGGGGAGGCATGTTTACTTAGGGGGTTCCTGCTGCCCCCCTGCCCCGCGGAACTTGTGTGGGGCGAAGTCTCAGGAGAGCTTCTAGAGGGAGGCCTTGCCCCTGGCCCGGTCTGTGCCTCGTCCTCTCCCCGGGAAACAGGAGTCGGTGCAGCCCGGGTCCGGAGGGGGCAGGGAGTGGGGCTGGGCAGGGCTGTGACCTGTCCTCCGGGCTGAGGTGGGACCGAGCCCTGGGCTTCTGGCCACCTGTCCCCAGCTCAGGGGACTTGCGCGGGGTCTGGGGGTGTTTGCGGGCAAGTGCGGACACGGAGGGCGGCCGTCTGTGCTTTTCTTTCCCTTTAATGTCACTTTTTTTGCTGCACAAGCAAAAGCAAAATGTGTTTATTCTAGAAACATATAGAAATACATAAAGAAGAAGTAAATCAGGCAGAGGGAGACCTCTCTGGCACCTCTTTGAGATGGTTTAGGGTCACAGAACTTGAGGGTCCAAGGCCAGCCCAGGCGCCCTGAGTGATTCCTGGGCAGCAAAGTGGGTGAAAGTTCCTGTCCCCGTTGACTCCCCTGCCCGCTCCCCACACCCCTGCCCCGCCCGTCCTGGGGGCGTCCAGAGGGAGGGCTGGGAAGCAAGCCCCCCGCCTGGGCGGGAGACCGAGCGCACCATGGCGCCTGGGCCTCCCCCGTGTGGGTCTGGCTCCCTCAGAATCACATCCGGGCCCACCTCCTAGCCTGGAGCTCTGGGGCTCTGTTCAGTGGCTGCCCCAGAGCTTGGTCCGGAGCGGCGTGCTGTTAGCGTGGGCGCGTGCACCGGGCACCGCGTGGGCCCCTCACACGTGTCAGTGGCGACAATCCTCCCACAGCCCGCGAGGGGCGCTCCTGCCCCTTCCACACCGGGCGGACAAGGCCCTCAGGGGTGAAGCCATGCCCCCCAGAACCCCGGCCTCCCGCCTCCCGTCCCGCCAGGTGGGGCCGGCTCACGCCTGGCCCGCCCTGTGGGCTGTGGGAGCCCAGCGAGGGGGGCTGCGTCCCAGGGGTGGGTTGGGCCTGGGGTGGGCACCGACCCGCCCTCTTTGCTTTTCAGAGGTGTGCCCGCGGCACAGCCCCCTGGACCCGACGCCGCACGCCCTGGTGCAGCCCATCTCCGCCACGCTGGCCTCCGACCCCGCCAGCTGCCCCCGCTGCCAGCACGAGGCAGGCCGGCGGCCCTCGGGCCGGGGCAGCACCGACTCGGGCCAGGAGGGCTCGGGCTCTGGTGGCTCCGGTGGCGGCGAGGACGAGGCGGATGGGGACGGGGTGCGGAGCAGCGAGGAGGATGGGGTGTCCTCGGGCCTGGGGAAGGAGGACGAGGAGGAGCAGGCGGACGGGGCGGCGCAGCTCTGCGGGGCCGTGTGGCGCGAGACGCGAGCCAAGCTGCGGGGCATCGTGGACAGCAAGTACTTCAACCGCGGCATCATGATGGCCATCCTGGTCAACACCGTCAGCATGGGCATCGAGCACCACGAGCAGGCCAGTGCGCAGCGCCGTCTCCGGGCTGGGCGTGGGGGAAGGGCGGGCGGGGCGCCCGGACCCCTGCAGGCCGGTTCATCACGTGACCTTGGTGCCAGCCCAGGGCCGAGCGCAGAGGAGGGACGGGCTCAGGTGTCTGCTGAGAATGGATGAGCTCACGAGGGAAGCCTGACAGGGCCGGACCTCTCGGGCTTCTTTTCCTAAGCTGCTCAGCCTGGACACCAAAACACCCACAGATGGTCCCTGCCAGTCTCTGCCCAAAGTGATTTCTGTTCCTCACCTCTCTCCCTGAGCCTCTGTCTGTTGTCCCCAGACAGGGGGAGTCACCTTTCCAGAGGGACGGTCTGGTTGGGATCTCCCCTGCCCCCAAACTTCTGTCCCTCCCACTGACCGTCCCGCTGACACCAGGGCCCCTCTGTGCGCACGGTGCACCTTCCCCAGGTGGGGCATCCTCCTGTCCCTCTCAACAGCTCCACCCCAGCCCCACGGCACTGAGCGTGGCCCTGAGTTGGCCTGGTGTCGGCTCTCCCCATCTCCCTCCTGGGTGGTCCTGTGGTCTGGGTTTGGGGGCGCAGGGGTGCTGGCTGGGCTGCGCCCCAGGCCATTGGCAGGACTGCTGTGGGCCTCCCAGGTGAGAGGAGTTCAGAGAAGGGGGACCCATGGGGATAGATGGCACATGGGTGGGGACAGGTTCTAGGAGGTGGCAGGAGCTGGGGAGGATGTGAACGAGAGGAGAGGAGGGCACCTGTGGGCACGCAGCGGGGATGGGCCACACCAGGGGGTGACGGCCTGCACGGCAGGTCCAGCCCTGGCTCCATTCGAAGAAGCAGCATTTTTGGGCTCCTACCATGCACCAGCCCCTGGGTGGGAGGGCTCTGGACCCACACCCTGCCCTGGGAGGGCACCCCATGAGGCAGCAGGCAACCCCAAGGCCCAGGGAGGGGAAGTCACTAGCCTGAGGTCCCACAACCAAGCAGGGGTTTGGGATTGTCACATCCTCTTTGCTTTCCTGCTGCCCTCTTTCTGCGAGGCCACCCCCCAGCTGCCGCCCTGGTGGGGGCCACGTTCTCATTTCCCTCTTCATTAGCTCACCCAGCACAGGCTCCATTCAATTTACTTAAATGCGGCCCCTGGGGCTGCTGCGACACTCTGTTCGGAGCTGCTGGTTTGCCAGCCATTCCAGCTTAATTGCAAAGGTCTCCGGGGAGGGCTCTCTGCAGGGTAAAGCTGGGGAGACAGGCGCCCACACCCCTAGAGGCCGGCCTCTGGCCCATGCCTGACCTGGCCTGCCAGGGGGCAAAGGCCCCACTGGGAACATGTGCCTTTGGGCTGCTGGCTCCAGTCTCTGTGCAGGGCGGCACTGAGGGGCCGGTGACAGCCCGGCTGCACCAGAGCCTGGCACTGTCCTTGCCAGTGGCTTGCTGGAACCAGCTTGTGAAAGCCAATTTTCTAACACTTAGGAATTTTGCAAGCCAACTGTTACACAGTTGGTAGCTTGAAGTCGACCATGGAGGGAGTATTTACACCATGGAAATTGGCAGGTGCTGCAGATCAGGGCTATTTCTCAGAGGGCTGTTTGCCAGCATACTGCTTGTCCCTGCCTTCTCACCCATCCCCACCCGAGGGGACACCGTGGCCAGGGCAGCTCTGTCCTCTGGGTGCAGCCTCTCCCTCTGCCCTCCAGCCAGGCCGCACGGTGGGCCCTGCCCACACCTCCGCAGGGTCTCCCTGTCTGGCCTGCCCCCCTCACTCTGTCTGCCACGTCCTGCTGGAGCGCTCCAACTGCAGTCTGCTGGAGCCTCCGCCCTGGGGCACAGCAGCGTTACTCGAGCTGCAGTCGGTGCTCAGCGGCCCCCTGGGCTGCGCGAGGCTGTTCCCACTGCTCGTCTTCCGCCCAGTCACAGCCCGCCTCGTCTCCTCATCTGCCAAGCGGGTGCCCTCACCGCGTGCCGCCCCTTCCCAGGCATGGGCCACCGCTTGCTGGGCACCTGCCAGTGCCAGGCTCTGGTCGCAGTGAGCACAGCCACCCTTGAGGCCGGCTCCTGCCCTCCCGCCCCACGCCCTCGGAAGGCCGCTGCTCAGGGAGGCAAAACCGATCACTCAGAGTCTGGGTCCAAGCCTGGCTCTGCTGTTGACCAGTGGGGTGGCCCTGGGTGGGTCCCGTGGCCTCCCGCGGCTGGTGCCCCCACGCCTCTCGCACTCAGAGGCTGGGCGGCCACACGCGCTAAGGAGGCCGGCGCGTAGTAGGTGCTCAGTAACCAGTCCCTACTCCTGGGCCTCCGGCCCCAGCCTACGCCACCACCCGGGCGGGTGTGCCCCGCACTGTCTGGAGCCTCAAAAAATTAATTAAGGAAAAAGCGAGGGGGAGGCAGATTTCCAAAACGTTCTTTTTAAAGCAGCTCCGGTGACAGCCATTGTTCGGCTGGCTCCGCGCGGGCGCCCGTGGCTCCCTCGGCTCCCAGACGCTGCTCGGCGGGGACGCGCCGCCCCCGTGTTTATTTTGAGCAGCCATCTGAGGTGGCACTGAAGACAGAGGTGGCCCAGGGCCGCTGAGGGGGGCGCACGGGGAGACGGGGCGGGGAGGGGGAGGCGGGCGAACGCGCACAGCCCCTCTCCTGCGGGGGCGGCGACAGCCAGGGAGGCGGCACCCGGGCCCTGCCAGGCCTGCACCTTGCCCGGCCACAGGGAGCTCTGCCAGCCACCCAGGGGACAGGAGTTGAGGGCTTGGCATCTACCACCTGGGGCTGGTCACCTGCCTGTGGTCACGGGTGCTTCAATGAGAGGTGCGGTTGCAGGTGCCGAGGCCTTTAGGGCGCAGAGCAAGCCGGCTCCCCGCTCCTCGTGTAGTGGGCGCTGTGCAGGGACTGGCAGGAGTGCTGGGTGAGGGGGGCCAGCCAGGAGGGGCTGCGTGTGGCTCTTGAAGGCTGCGATGGTGCCGGGGTCCCCACCCGCTGGATGGCCCGAGGTGGTGGCCTGCGCAGTCTGTAGCTGAGGCTGCGTGTTAGGCAGGTGGGACAGGTCAGCTGGGGAGGCCGGGCCTCTCTAGGGAGGCCAGATTCCTTCATCGTCACTGCAGTGGCGGCGCCACAGCTCTTCCTGTGTGATCCTCCAGCAAGCCTGGGGAGCAGGCGGGGGCGGGGTGTCTTAGCCCCGCTGGGCAGATGGGGAAGCTGAGGCTCAGCAAGGTGGAATGGCGTGCCCAGGGCTCCCAGGTGAGCGGCTGGCACAGCTGGGCTCCCAGGTGCCGGGGTCAGCGGTGGACAGTTGAATTGGAGGTGAGGGGGCCTGGGTTGGGAAGACGTTGCTCCTAGCAGCGGTGCCTGTCTCAGCTTCTCCCTCTCTCTGCACACACCCGCCCAAGCCCAGGACTCCTCCCGAGCTGGGCATGGCCACCCTGGGCCACGTCGTCCTGGAATTGGAGGATGGTCATCAAGTTAGAGAACAGAAAACAGGACAGGGCTGCATGGCAGCAGGGCATGGTGCAGGGAACCTCTTGGGGTTGGGCAGACCCCAGGCCACTAGCCCCAGCTCCCAGGGGACTGCTCTTTTCTCCCTTCCGCAGCCCCTGAACGATCAGATCACTGCCCACCCAGGTCTGGGGTGACTCTGGGAAGGGAAGGATAGGGTGGCTTGGTGGTTGAGATTCCAACTCTGTGGGGGCCCAAGGGAGAGAGGCACCAACATGGGCAGCAGCCAGGGAAGGCTTCCTGGAGGTGGTGGCACTGGAGGTGGATCCTGAAGGATGACCAGGAATTCATCAGTGAGACAGAGGGACAGGTGCGGGGACCAGAAGCGTAGGCAACCCCCAAAGGACCCTGAGCCCCTGAGAAGGACGTGCACGAGGGGCGGGGCCAACAGTGCAGGAGGCCAGGAGGGCTGTTCATCTGCAAAGGACCTTGAGGCCGGCTTTATCCTTAGGGCAGTGGGGAGCCACAGAAGGCTTCTGAGCAAGTGACACGGCTGTGCTGAACTGAAGGGGATGGGGGTGAGGTCAGAGGGAGGAGACCTGGGTTGAAGATCTGCCTTCACCACAGCCTGGCCATGACGCTGGGCGGCCACTTCCCTCTGAGCCTCAGGTCCCCTCTCTGTGAAATGGGGATAAGCTAGGGCTGTCCGAGGCCCAGCACACCTGGCCCAGGAGAGAGGCTTAGCCAACATGCGCTGCCATTGGTATCATGGGAATTTCTGCTAGGCTGGAGGGATTCCAGACGCCCCACCCTGTCTGCCCTTGCAGAAAAGGCTGGAGGCCGGGCAGCCCAGTGCCTCCCAAGCCTGGTGTCGGGCACGGACGTGCTGGCCTCACCTGTGGCCTAACCCGCTTTTATCTGCCTGTCAGCACCTGGCCTTCCACTGGGCGTGTCTCTGCCATCCGTCTGTCTATCTGCTCTTTGTGCGTCTCTCTGACTCCCACTGTGTCACAGTGCTGTTGTCTTGGTCTATCTTCACGTCTGTGTCCATGGTTTCCCTGTGTCGCCGTCTCTCCATACCGTTTCGCCTCTCACTCCGCGTCTGCGCTTGTCTGTCTGTCCGTCTCTCTCCCTCTCTGCCTCGTCCCTTCCCAAGCACCCTCCCTCCTGGGCTCTCGCCGCTGTGTCTCTATTCATCTGCATGTCCCTCTCCACCCTGTCTCCCTCCCGGAGAAATGCTTGCGGGAGTGATGGATGGCCCATTAGGAAAAGATGAGCAGGTGCGCGATGGAGAAACAGCTGTTGCGAGGGAGGCGGGGGCGCGCGGTGACCTTTCGGGAGCCGTGGCTCCGCGCATCAGTGGCGGGAGCGTGTGCAGCCCGGCCGGCTGATTGCCATCATGGACTGTCAGCAGCCACATTTTTCATCTCCGCGGATATCGTTTGGTGGGCCGGGAAACTGGTGCTCTGAGCAGCATCTGGGCCCTGGCTCAGCCAGGACGCCGGCCGGCCCCTCCCCGCACAGGGGCCCCTCTCAGGGTCCCCCTCTCCTTTGGGGACCATTTTGTGAGTCAAATGTAATTACAGATGGAAATGGGCCCTTCTCCTTTTATCTGGGCTTGAGAGGAACTGGCAGTTTTATTAGATTTCCCAGGCACCAGGCGGGAAGCCGATGGTTGGGTTGTTATTATTTTTTTCTTCTCCTTTTAACCTACATGGAATCAAAGTGAGGTCCCTGAGGCTCCCTGTCGCTCAGCCGGGGTCCTGGGCTGGGAGTGGGCTGTGCTTTTGACACTCAGCGCTCCTGGCCCCCCCCCCACGCCCCTGGCTGGGCCCTCTGCCTGGACACCCTTCTCTCCTCCCTGTCATTGGCTCCCCATCAGCTTATAAGTCTCTGCTGAGATGTCCCCTCCTCCAGGAGTCCTCCTGGCCGCATGAACACTGTTCCCCTGAGCCACCCTGGCCTCCCTGGTGTTAGCATGTGCCGGCTTGATGTGTCAGCTGGGTTCCCTGGGCTTTGCTACCAGAGCGTGAGCTTCTCCGGGACAGGGACCACGCCCCGACTCATTCAGCTCTGCCCACCCTGGGTAGCCCAAGCCCAGCACGTCGTGGATGCTCAGATCTGTGGAATGCATATAGGAATGAATGAATGACTGAATGACTGAATGAGTTCAGGTGGGGTTTCTGTGTGGTGTAATGGGACAGTAGTTGGAGTCCAGCTTAGTTTGGTGCCCCACCCTGCCACATCCTTGCTGGGTGGCTCTAGGCCAGTCATTTCATGTCTCAGTTTTCCCAGCCTCAGTTTCCTCATCTGTAAAATGGAGATGGTAACTCGCGTTGGGCGTCGAGCTCAGGGAGGGGCACACGGTCAGGATTGAACAAACGGCCCTTCCCTTCTCCGTGATTCAGGCAGGAGTGACCTGCAGCACGGTGAGCAAACACCGGGCACTTCGCTGGTCCCGGAGGAGCCTCGGGGGGAAGGGGCAAAGAAGGGGCTGGAGCCTCACGTGACCCTTAGAGGAACGAGATCGTTCACTCAACACCCCGGTTTTATGGATAAGGGAACTAAGGCTCAGAGGAGGGGAAGGGACTTGTCCAGGGTTGCACAGCCACTCATTGCCCAAACCACGCCTGGACCCCTCATGCCACTGCCGCCCCAAATCGTGGTCTGTGGCGTGGCCCGTTCCAAACACTGGAGTTCCTCAGAGGGTGCCATTTGCAGAGCGCCACCTGCTGTTAACAACCGTGAGGTCAGTAGCTCCAGGGGCAGAGGGAAGTCTGGCTGGAGGAGGTGTGTGTAGGGGGTAGTCTCCCTCCCACCAGCTGGTGACTTTGGGCAGGTCCTCCGTGAGGGTGGCCAGGTGTGCTAGGAGCCGCCACGGGTGTCCCACGTACAGGGCTGTGCCTGGCAGGCAGGAGGTGTGTGGTCTCCATCCTCCTTTGGGGGCGCATGGTGTCTGCAGGCACCTGTGGTCCTCTGAGCCGGCCACTGCTGGGAAGGGGCACAGAGGAAGTCTGCACAGGCAGGGCTTAGGGACAGTGGCCTTGGAGCTGGCTGCCTGGCCCTCTGCAGCCTCAGAAACTGACATGAGCCTGCAAATGGGGCCCAAGTAAAGCGATGCCTGTGAAGTGCCTAGAACAGTGCCTGGCGTGTGGTAAGTGCTCACTAAACGGGTTGGGGTCCTGGGTGAACAGTTAGTTTCTAGTGAGCCCTGGCCTACCTTCTGGTCTTGCTCTACATCTAGTCGTGTGACCTCAGGCTGGCCTCTGAGCCTCAGTTTCCTCATCTGTAAAATGGGTACCATAATCCCACCCTCTGTGTGCACCACCAGCATCATTTCCAATTTCATGGAAAGTCAGCCCTGTGGGCTCCCCCAATCCTCGCTATCTCAGTGGACCTCTCAGGACCCCGAGGTGGCAGATTGAGAGGTCCCCAAGGCCATCATGCATGGGGTGGTGGGGAGACTGAGCTCCAGATAGGACACGACCTTCTAGGCTCATGCAGCCAGGGTGGGTGTCCAGAGGGGACCCACGGCGGCCCCTGGCCTGACCGGGTCTCCATTCCCCACCCCGTGCCCCACAGCCCGAGGAGCTGACCGACGTCCTGGAGATCTGCAACGTGGTCTTCACCAGCATGTTCGCCCTGGAGATGATCCTGAAGCTGGCCGCCTTCGGGCTCTTCGACTACCTGCGCAACCCCTACAACATCTTCGACAGCATCATCGTCATCATCAGGTATCCCCCCCACCACCGCCCAGCAGCAGGGGGCTGAGGAGGGGGACTTAATGTGCAGACCCCAGCCAGCAGGGTATGTAAGATGACAAGGGAAACCCAGTGCACTGGAACACGGTGATCGAAAGAGCAAAACGTTGTGATTTAGCGGTGTATGTGCTTCTGGGGTAACGTGTTAAATAGCAGGATCTAGCACTGGGCTGGTGACTGCCATCATCCCAAAGGAGGGATAAGCATAAATAATATTGAGAAATAGCTGCATCAATTGTCCCGTGACATGAAGAGATCAGTTATTTCGATTGTCCACAAGGTCATAGGTACTGCTAATTCTGTTTACATGCATAATCAAAAGAGATCTCAAAGAGGACAGTGACATTCACGGACCTCCTGTCCTGGACCGTAGCCATAGACTTCTCGGGGGATTCATGGACTCCAGGTTAAGAGCCCCTGATTTAGCTGGTGCCACGGAGGAGAAACCCACATATTTGTTGGATAGATGGATGAATGAGTGGAAGCTCTCTGTCTCTCTGTCCTCCCCTTCTTCCTCCCTCTCCTCACCTCCTCCTGGGCTCCCACTGATCCCTCCCACCTGCCCCCACCCCTGCCTGCCCCACTGGGCGCAGCATCTGGGAGATCGTGGGGCAGGCGGACGGCGGCCTGTCGGTGCTGCGGACCTTCCGGCTGCTGCGCGTGCTGAAGCTGGTGCGCTTCATGCCTGCGCTGCGGCGCCAGCTCGTAGTGCTCATGAAGACCATGGACAACGTGGCCACCTTCTGCATGCTGCTCATGCTCTTCATCTTCATCTTCAGGTGAGCCCCGCCCCTGGGGACCACACCTTTGGGGCTGTGGGCAGGAGCTTGGGGGATGTGGTTGGTTGAGGTTCTCCACCTAGACCTGGGTGGGAGTCCTGGCACTGTCCCTCAGTCCCCTGTGGCTCTGGGCAAGCACTTCCCCCGCCCCCAGCCTCAGTGTTCATCTCTGTAAAATGGGAACAGCACTGCCCCTCCTCCGTCTTACTGGGTTGTCCTGAGAATGAAACAGGTGGGCGGGCAGAGGGTTTGGTGCTGTGAGTCCCTTGAGCCACCTTCGTCTCTTCCCCAGCATCCTCGGGATGCACATCTTTGGCTGCAAATTCAGCCTCCGCACGGACACGGGAGACACGGTCCCCGACAGGAAGAACTTTGACTCCCTGCTGTGGGCCATTGTCACAGTGTTCCAGGTGAGTGGCAGCCATGTGTCCATGTGTGCCAAGGGAAGTGATCCTGGCAGCAGGCCTGGGAGGGGTGGTGTTGACAGCTCCTGCCCCTCCCTGTAGCCTGAGGTTGCCCAGAGCCTAGGCCTGGGCTGGGGGTACCCCAGGGCTGACTTTGTCTCCTCAACAGATCCTCACCCAGGAGGACTGGAATGTTGTCCTCTACAATGGCATGGCCTCCACCTCCCCCTGGGCCTCCCTCTACTTTGTCGCCCTCATGACCTTCGGCAACTATGTGCTCTTCAACCTACTGGTGGCCATCCTGGTGGAGGGCTTCCAGGCAGAGGTGACTGGGGCCCTGGCAGAGGAAGGGCCCCCACAAGGCCTGCAAGAGACTGGGCAGGGGAGAGGCGGTCTGGATGGGGGAGGGTCACAATTCAAACTTCAAGCAGGCCGCCTGTCTCCAAAGTACAGGGTTGCCAGTGAGGTGGTGAGCTTCCCATGATGGGAAGCATGCAAATGGAGGCTGTCTCTGGGATCCCTGCCTCTCCCTCAGGGGTACAGGACTAGCCCTCTCTGTCTCTGAGATTCTAAAGCCTCCAAGATCTGGGATTGGGGATCCTCCTTCCTCCATTCTCTAAGGTTTTGGGGACCCTTGCAGTCAGGCAGATGCAGGTTGTGGCCTAGGTCTTTGTTAGCTACTCACTTCCCTTTTTTCACCCTCAGTTTCTCCATCTGTAAAATGGAGGTAGAAATACCCATTGAAAAATTCAGGAGGGAAGAAGGGAGGGAGGGAGGGAGGGACTGGCCGAGCCGACCTGTGTTCCAACATGAGGGACCATCTCCCAGGGTGATGCCAATCGCTCCTACTCAGATGAGGACCAGAGCTCATCCAACTTGGAGGAGTTTGACAAGTTCCAGGAGGTCCTGGACAGCAGCGGAGGTAAGCAGGCCTCCGTGGGTCACCTAGGGGGCCAGAGCCTCCCCAGAGATCCAGGTGGGGAGGGCACAACATCTGGCGTCCTCCAGTGTAGGCTCAGGGACTGCTAATTCTCTGCAGTTTATTGTTTATGTTCATAAGCAAAAGAAATGCTAACTCTCAAAAAGAGGACAGTGACGGTCATGGGCCATGTGGATTCCAGCCACAGGGGCACGGGCAGCCCCTGTGCCCCTCCACACAGTGTGATCTGTTGGTTAGAGCCTTGGGCATGGCCCGGGTTCTGGTCCTGCCTGGCACCACTGGGCAGCTCAGAACAAGCCTCCCCCAAGCCAAGCCCAGGGTCCTTCTTGGTGACCAGGGCAGACAGTGTCTGCCTGCTTCCCGCAGTGGGCTTGGGAGTGAGGTGCCCATGCTGGGTGAAGCTCCAGGCTGGCGATGAACACAGGCAAGGGATCCACACACCTAAATAAAGCTGAGAGCCCTGCAGGTGGGGTGCAGGGCAGGCATGTGTGATGGGTGCAACCGGGAAGACTGCTTGGTGGCAGAAGTCTTCTCAGAAAAGCTCTCCATTTCTGTTTCGTCCATGTCTGTTTCTGTCTCATGGCTTCCCTTGCTCCTGTTCTTTCTGTCTGCCGTCTGTCCCGCCCTCTGTCCCCATCTCCTTTCTCCAGACCCCAAGCTCTGCCCAATCCCCATGACCCCCAATGGGCACCTGGACCCCAGCCTCCCCCTGGCTGGGCACCTGTGTGCTGCCGGGGCTGCGGCACCAGCCCCCCGCCTCTCACTGCAGCCGGACCCTGTGCTGGTGGCCCTGGGCTCCCGGAAGAGCAGCGTCATGTCTCTGGGGAGGATGAGCTGTGACCAGCGCTCTCTGGTGAGTCCTCGTGGGTGCTCTGGATGGCCACTGCCCGCTGGGGTGTGTGTTGAGGGACCCTGAAGGGAGGTACCTGCCAGTCCAGCCGCTCTGGTGCCCAGGCTTAAGGCACTGGACTGCCTGGCCCAAACCAGGCAGGGACCATGTCTGTTGCATTTCCGGGAGTCCAGTGCCAGAGCAGGTGCTGGCAGTCAGGAGTGGATGAATAGATGGTGTCAGGGGGTCTGGCGCAGAGAACTGGGTTTTCATCTTGGCAGCAGCGCATAGGGAGGAGCCGGGCTTTGGGCTCGGGCAGACTCGAGCTTGAATCTGGCCTCTGCCACCTCCAAGCTGTGTGATCATGAGCAAACTACTGCCCTTCTCTGAGCCTGTGTCTTTGGTAGCAGGAGGGGATGTAACCTCCAGTAGATGTGCCCATGTGTCCCTGTGGTTGTGGATGGAGTGACAGGGACAGGGAGAGGACCCCTGGGGTCTAGTCCATACCTTAGTCGCTGGCTGGGCAGGCGGCCCTCTCAGAGCCATAGCGGGGCAGGCAGGCTGCCTTTGGTTGCCCCAGTCGTTGGTGCGCGTGTCCGGCGCTGACGCAAGCCGGGGCCTCCTCCCAGTCCAGCTCCAGGAGCTCCTACTATGGGCCGTGGGGCCGCAGCGGGGCCTGGGCCAGCCGCCGCTCCAGCTGGAACAGCCTCAAACACAAGCCACCGTCAGCCGAGCATGAGTCCCTGCTGTCGGCGGAGCGCGGCGGTGGCAGGGCCTGCGAGGGCGCGGGGGACGAGGCGCCGCCGCGCGCTGTGCCCCTGCACGCCCCGCACACGCACCACCACGCGCACCACGGGCCGCACCTGGCGCACCGTCACCGCCACCACCGCCGGACGCTGTCCCTCGACACTAGGGACTCGGTGGACCTGGCCGAGCTGGTGCCCACCCTGGGCGCTCACCCTAGGGCCGCCTGGAGGGCGGCGGGCCCGGTCCCGGGGCACGAGGACTGCAACGGCAGGATGCCCAGCATTGCCAAGGATGTCTTCACCAAGATGGACAACCGGCGGGACCGCGGGGACGACGAGGAGGAGATCGACTATGTAAGCGCGGGCCCAGAGAAGCGCGGCTGTGAACGGAGGGGCGGGGCCAGAGTGGGCGGGGCCCGAGGGGGGCGTGGCCGCATGGTTAGGACTTCAGGTGAGTGAGGCAGCAGGGGCGGGGCCAGGACTGCTCACACCTGAGCTGGGCCCGCCCCTGAGAGAGAAGTCCTCCCAGCCTGCTCTGGGTGGGCGACAGTTGGGGATCATCCAGCTCCCCCAGTTTGCGGCACGGCCGGCGCGGCGGGGATGGGCAGCTCTGCACTGCGTCGACCCTCCCACGCCGCCCTTCCCTTTCCAGACCCTGTGTTTCCGCGTCCGCAAGATGATCGACGTCTACAAGCCTGACTGGTGCGAGGTCCGCGAAGACTGGTCTGTCTACCTCTTCTCTCCTGAGAACAGGTGGGCGGGATCAGGTTTGGGGTGAGGGTTAGAGTGGGGGGGTGACATGTCTGAGAGGGAGAGATTTCTGCAAAGCCAGGCAAAGCCACTGGTGGCACCACTGGAAGATCCCTGTGGCCCAGGGGTGGGAGGTCTGCAGGGCACGGGGCAGGTCCGGGCTTTCCTGGGCATCTCCCCTAGTCTAGGCCATCCCTGTGCGGGGAACCAGGTTGGACAGATCCTCAAGTAGCCTGTGGTGCTCACTCTGAAGGGGGCATCTGAAGGCTTCCTGGAGGAGGAGGCCTTTGTGCTGGGCTTTGGAGGCAGATGGCGTTCCAGTGGGTACAGCAGGCTTGTGAAGAGGCGGAAGCTGGTCCAGGTGGAGACAGCAGCCTGAGGGGGGGGATGGGGGTAGAAGCGGAGGGTATCAGGCATTGTGGTGTCCTCATGACAGGGGGCAGGGATTTGGGCCAGTGTTTGTAAAGCCTTGAGTGCCAGGGCAAGGTGGGTGCCCGCCATGGTGTGGGCGTGTGGTCCGCGGGGGCCGCTCCAGGTGAGCACCCTGAGCAGAGGTAAATTTGCACCTGTCGTGTGGCCAGAGCAGAAGAGAGGGTCACTTCCTCTAGGCCTGGCCTGTACTCGTGCCTGAGCCCCCTGCCTTCCTCCTGGTCAGGGTGGGAGGCAAACTGACACTCACGTGGCCCCCTCACCTCCCTGCCCAGGTTCCGAGTTCTGTGTCAGACCATCATTGCCCACAAGCTCTTCGACTATGTCGTCCTGGCCTTCATCTTCCTCAACTGCATCACCATCGCCCTGGAGCGCCCCCAGATAGAGGCTGGCAGCACTGTGAGTGGCTGCTGCCCTTGGGCAGGGCAGGGGGCCAGGCAAAGGGACAAGACACCGGGGCCTTCGGGGGGCAGCGTGCCAGGGCTGAGGGGGCTGGGAGCTCAGCAGGCTCAGGGGAGTGTGGCAGGGAACTTGCCTCCGGAGAGGGGAAGGCCGGCTTCTGAGAGGGGCAGCCTCTCCTGGATGCCCTTTGGCCAGAGCAGAGGCTGCCCAGGTGGCTGGGCAGTTCTGGGAGCCCCTGGGCTCACATATGTCTTTCAGGAACGCATCTTCCTCACCGTGTCCAACTACATCTTCACAGCCATCTTCGTGGGCGAGATGACACTGAAGGTAGCGCCCAGCTTCACTTGGGACCATTGCCACTCCCTGCTCGGAGCCCCTGACCTAGGCCCAGACCCCGACTCAGTTTGTCACTCGCCTGCCCATCAGCTACGTTCCACACGTGGGCCCGGGGTTTGGCCCTGGGGACCCAGAGGGTGTCAGCCGCGTCCGGCTCCCAGGAGTCACCCCGCCAGGAAGGCGAAGGCAGGGGGCACTGACAGTGTAATGGAGGTGCCTTCTGGTGGTGTGGGCGCAGAGGAAACATCCCGTCTGGAACGCTCTCCAGAGCGGGTGGCTTTGACTTGGGTTTGCCAGATGTGCCAGGAGAACCCAACGGGGCGGCCTCCTGGGCCCTGAGCCCGCCCTCAGAGGGGCGCCCAGGAACAGCCCCTGCCCGCCCGCCCCCCACCCCACCTGCCAGACCCGCCCCCTCTGTCACCCCGCCCCTCCCGGAGCCCGACCTGACTTGCCCCGCCCCCTGCGGGAGCCGCCTAACTCCCACCCTCCTCTGCGGAGTCGGGCTGGCCCCGCCCACCGCCCCGCCCCTCCCCGGGGCGGCCATCTGACCCCGGCCCCGCCCCCGCCCCAGGTGGTGTCGCTGGGCCTGTACTTCGGAGAGCAGGCCTACCTGCGCAGCAGCTGGAACGTGCTGGACGGCTTCCTCGTCTTCGTGTCTATCATCGACATCGTGGTGTCCATGGCCTCGGCCGGGGGAGCCAAGATCCTGGGGGTCCTCCGGGTCCTGCGGCTCCTGCGCACCTTACGCCCCCTGCGGTGAGGACCGGTCCTCTGCGGAGGGGGTGGATGTCGCTGCACTATACACTGTACAAGGAAGCCACTAGGGTCTAAGTGGGCCCCTCACTCCGGCCCTCCCCACCCACTCACTCCTCCGGTAGTACGTTCCAGGCACCGTGGGCCTTGCTCCTGGGGGAGGAACCTGCAGACCCCGGGGTGGGGCGTGCTGGAAGAGCAGGGCTGAAGGTGGCCCCCAGTACTGCCATCCACTCTCTGTGTCCCCCACTGGCTCACTGCCATCTCTGGGAGTCGATCTCTAGAGGAGGGTGTGGTGTGGAGCCCAAGGGGACTGGGCACAGTGAGGCTAAGGGCAAGTGCCCCAGACGGCATGGCCTGCTGTGTATGTAGATCTGGGCCTGGGTTGCAGCTCACCACCTGTTCTGCCGAAATCTGGGTAGCCTGGCTGCTTTCCCTACGTTCCCTGCCGCGCCTATGCCCTAGGGGCTCAGCCCTGGTGGCTCCAGGCTGCAAGGAGGCTGCCTCCTGGCCTGGCCTTGGGCTTATGGTGACCTGGCCCCTCCCTGCCTGCAGCGTCATCAGCCGGGCACCTGGCCTGAAGCTGGTGGTGGAGACGCTCATCTCCTCCCTCAAGCCCATTGGCAACATCGTCCTCATCTGCTGCGCCTTCTTCATCATCTTCGGCATTCTGGGAGTACAGGTGACAGCGCCCGGGCTGGTAGGGACCAGAGGGGGCTCTGTGGCCGGGGAAGAGGAAATCCAGCACAACATTCCTACGCTGCCCCTCTGTGCTGGCCAAGCTGTGGGCTCGGGCGGCTCTGGCCAGCAGCCATGGGCCTTGCCAGGCGCCAGCTCCCGGTCCCAGGAGGGAGATAGGCACAGGCCCAAATGCCTGAGCACAGGCCCAGGGTAGATGCGATTGAGGGGTGGGTCCCTCTTCTGCCTTTTGACCCCACCCAACACCCCAACACCAGCCTTGTTCCTTTCCCCCAGCTCTTCAAGGGCAAGTTCTACCACTGTCTGGGCGTGGACACCCGCAACATCACCAACCGCTCTGACTGCATGGCTGCCAACTACCGCTGGGTGCACCACAAATACAACTTTGACAACCTGGGCCAGGTGAGCACTGCCCGCCTATCCCCGATCTGACCCTTCCACTTGGGATGTGGTGACATCTCTTCCATGCCCAGGGCCCTGGCATCACAAACCTGGCTCCAGTCCTGCGCTGCCAGGACAGACGCTGTGACTTTCCTCTCCAAGCCTCAGTTTCCTCTTCTGAAAGTGGGTAGGGTAGCTGCAGGTGGCGAGGGGCAGAGATCCTGTCTGCAGAGTGCCCAGCAAGCACCTGGCACTTGGTGGGTGCTTCAGTGAACATTGGTTCCCCGTCCTCCCCCATGGGTAGCCCCCGGCTGGACCCCACTGAAGCTGCCCTGAATACCACCTGGAGGGACGCCGCAGGGCCTTTGGGGCAGTGAGTGGCCAGAGGACAGGTGTTAGGACCCCACGTTCTCCAGGAGCAGTGCTTTCTCAGGTTTTCAACAACTCATGGTGGAGAAAAGCTGTCACAGGGAGCTGAGGGGAAGCCAGTGGGGGTTTTTGTGAGCCCAGGGCCAGCTCTTTCTCATTCTGGGTGCCTTGGTGCCAGGCTGGCTCTCCTGGAACCCTCAGTGGGGTGTTCGCAGCACCCAGAGCCATTGGAAGGTTACAGCAGGGCCACAGCCCCTCACTGCAGTGGGCCACTTACTAGCTGTGCACCCTCGTATAAGTTCTAGACCCTCTCTGTGTTTCAGTGTCCTCATCTGTCAGTGGGGACAGAGATGGCAGGTCCTTGGGACGTAGAGGCCTCATGTGCCTCCCTGGCAGGGAGGGCTTCCCGGTGTCCCCTGCCTGCTCCTGGGCACCTTCAGCGCCATTCCAGACACCTTCAGCGCCATTCCCGCCTGGAAGGGAAGGAGGAGGGGTGTGCCCTGGGCGGATGGGAAGGAGGGGCCAGAACATGGCCAGAGACACTCCCAGAACCTGCTCAGGGTGGCAGGAGCACAGAGGAGGGCATGACCACCTCTGTCTGGGGGAGGGGACTTCCCAAGTAGGACGTGTGACCTCCTGGCAGCCTCTGGTGATGTGGGACTCTTTGGCCTCCCACTAACTACCGGCGTGCTGGGCTCTGCAAGGACGGCACCGCAGGCCATGCTCAAGTTCAGTTCAGAAAACCCTTATGAGCACCTGCTGCGTGCGAGGCTCTGTGCTGGGGGCAGCAGGACCAGCCGTGACCCCGTCGAAGGGACACGAGGATGCTGGTCTGCCGTCTGTGTGGGAGGCTTGGCTGGTTGTCCTGGGGACCACCTTGATTTCAAATTTTTACAAACCAGTAAGAGTAACGATTGCCATTTTATAGAAACAGGCCCAGAGACATTGAGGAACTTGTCCCAAATCACACAGCCGGTGAGTGGCGGGGGCCGAGCTATGATACAGGCCTCCTGCCTCTGCTCTCATGAGATCCTGTGTTCAGGTGCTGGGGCGAGCTGGTCTCCACCCCTGGAGTGTGATGGCAGGAACCTTCTAGTATACTCTCAGGAGCATTCCCTGCAAACCTGGCAGGCAGGTGCTCATTAGCCCCAATTTGTGGGTGAGAGGACAGGGGCTTGCGAATTTTCTTGCCCAGGACCACACAGCTAGTTGATTTCAGAGCTGAGACTGGAGTCCGGGGCTGTGGGTCCGGTGCTGTTTCTGCTGCAGCAGTGAGTGCAGGGTGCGTGGCGGGCACATAGCGAAGGCTCTGCCACACCGGGAAGGCCTCTTTATCTCTCTGCCTCCCAGAGGCAGAAAAATGGAGAGCTGGGGAGGGGTGGGTGCAGCCTGAGCCACCCACACCCCTCACCTCTGCACTCTTCCTCCCCATGTCTACCAGGCTCTGATGTCCCTCTTTGTCCTGGCATCCAAGGACGGCTGGGTGAATATCATGTACAACGGTCTGGACGCTGTCGCTGTGGATCAGCAGGTGGGCATGGCCAGGGCCAGGCCAGGCCTGGACTGGGGGGGAGGGACATGGTGTCCCTGGGGCCCAGTCTTCTGAAACCGGTGGCAGCGAGCCCCACAGCCCTGGTGTCTACGCACTGTTAGCATGGCCCACCCCTCACATCCTGGCCTGAACCTTCACCACTGGGGCTGCTCCTTAGGTAGCGTGAATCACTGCTCCGTTTGCTTCCGCAAGTTCCCCCTGCTCTGCAGGGAGAGGCATCCAGGCTGCTTCTGCCTGGAGGAGCGCAGAGCCTGGTGGGTGGAGAGCTGAGTGCAGCCGGAGCAGAGGGGCCGAGCCAGCTGGCAGAGGGACAGCAGGTGCACTGGGCCAGAGAGTGAGGTGTTCAGGGAGGCATGAGAGTGAAGTGGCTGGAGGTGGGGGAGGAGGCGAGTAGGGCCGGATGGTCCACAAGACCCCGTGTATGCCATGGCAGGGGCACGAGTTTATTCAGAGGGAAGAGAGAGCCAGCGAAGGGCTTATAGCGAGGGTGGTGTCCGCTGCCTGTCAGGTTTGCTTGTTGTTAGTGCAGGTGGTGGGATGGATTTGGGGAGGGGGATAGAGGAAGGGGGACAGGGAGGATGCTGAGCCTGGGCTCCCAAGACCCCACTGGGAGCAGAGGTCCCCTCTGGGGCTAGGCAGGGACTTTAGGCCAGGCACATGTAGCTGACCAGGGTTGGCTTTGCCCAGACTGAGGGTGTCACTGGGGGAAGGAGAGGGAGATTCTCTAGATTAGGAGGGGGAGGAGTCAGGCTGTGGGTAACCCTAGGCCTACAATGGACCTCTGGCTCTTGACCTCATGGGTCCCACCTGGTAAGACTCTGGAACTGGGGGTGGGGGCAGGGGGGCGCAGGGGGAATGAGGACACTTGGAGGCATCTTCCTCCACTTCCTTGTCTACACACACGGACTCCACCAGGGCTGTGCTCTCCCTCTGCTGGCTTGCTTGTCTTCTGCCTTGTTTCTGGGTGGATGAATAAGGGGAGGGAGGGATGGATGGATGAGTGGGTGGATGGGTGGGTAGGTGGACGGGTGGTTGGATCAATAAGTGGATAGATGGATAAGTGGATGGATAGATATGTGGATGGGTGGGTGGATGGGTGGGTGGATGGGTGGATGGGTAGGTGGATGGGTGGGTGGATGGGTGGGTGGATGGACGAGTAGATGGGTGGATGTGTGGATGGACGGGTGGTTGGATGGCTGGCTGGATGGTTGGATAGAAGGATGGGCAGATGCATGCGTGAGTGAATGGCTAGGTGCATGAGAGGAAGAAGACGGGTAGATGTGTGTCCAGGAGGCAGCAGCCGAGCGGGGAAGGACAGGGGGCTCTCTTTGCTGAGCACCTTATTGTGCCAGGCCCAGGGTGGGCGTTTCCTACCTGCTGCCTCACTCACGGCGGCCTTGGAGGCTCTGCGTATCCCAGTCTGCGGGCGTGTGCAGGGTGGGCACCCGCCGGTGGCCCTGCCGTGCCCGGTCCGCCTGCTCAGCCCCCTCTGGCCTCCGCAGCCCGTGACCAACCACAACCCCTGGATGCTGCTGTACTTCATCTCCTTCCTGCTCATCGTCAGCTTCTTCGTCCTCAACATGTTCGTGGGCGTCGTCGTGGAGAACTTCCACAAGTGCCGGCAGCACCAGGAGGCGGAGGAGGCGCGGCGGCGGGAGGAGAAGCGGCTGCGGCGCCTGGAGAAGAAGCGCCGCAGTGAGTGGCGCAGGGCTGCGGGGCACGGGCTCTGGGTCCCTGCCTGCCGCTGGCCGCCCGCCGAGGCCGGGGCCTGACCCAGCCTCCTGTGCCTCTGAGGCTGGAAGGGAACAACGGATACAGTTGCTGTGCGTGGCCCAGCCCCTCCTCCCAGGGTCTGCCTGTCTCGGGGACCTGAGCCCCATCAGTGGCACCACTGCCACCTGAGCGAGGCCTCGGGGGTTCAGGCCACGCAGGGGCAAAGGCAGAGCCTGGGCGCCCGGCCCTGGGTGGTAGGAACGCTGCCCTCCCCCAGCAGGCCCGGAGCCCCACCATGCGCTCGTTGGGGCGGGTGGGGAACCAGCGTCCTGCCCTCTTTCCACCTCCCCTGCGCCGTGCTGCTTCCCTCCTGGTGACCTGGCTGGGTACAGGAGACCTAGCACGGATTCCGGGGGCCGGGTGGGCTGACGTCTTTCCCCCTTGCTGTCTCCCTCCTCCATCTCCCCGCCCTCTGTGCTCCGTTCCCTTCCCCTCGGCACCAACGCCTCTGGTCTGTGCCATTCCCCGTCCCCCACGCAGAGGCCCAGCGGCTGCCCTACTATGCCACCTACTGTCCCACCCGGCTGCTCATCCACTCCATGTGCACCAGCCACTACCTGGATATCTTCATCACCTTCATCATCTGCCTCAACGTGGTCACCATGTCCCTGGAGCACTACAATCAGCCCACGGTGAGCCCCACTCTGCCTCCCAGCCCAATGCCACGTGGCGAGGGGGGCGCAGGGGTTGGGTGATACCAGGATCTGGGCATCCCTGCGTGCTGGGTCCTGTGCTGGACACTGCAGGGAGAGGGGGCGCAGGTCTTGGGTGACACCAGGATCCAGGCATCCCTGCGTGCTGGGCCCTGTGCTGGACACTGCAGGGGGAGGGGCGCAGGGGTTGGGTGACACCAGGATCCGGGCATCCCCGCGTGCTGGGCCCTGTGCTGGACACTGCAGGGAGAGGGGGCGCAGGGGTTGGGTGACACCAGGATCCGGGCAGCCCCGCGTGCTGCGCCCTGTGCTGGACACTGCAGGGGGAGGGGGCGCAGGGGTTGGGTGACACCAGGATCCGGGCATCCCCGCGTGCTGGGCCCTGTGCTGGACACTGCAGGGGGAGGGGGCGCAGGGGTTGGGTGACACCAGGATCCGGGCATCCCCGCGTGCTAGGCCCTGTGCTGGACAGTGCAGGGAGAGGGGGCGCAGGGGTTGGGTGACACCAGGATCCAGGCATCCCCACGTGCTGGGCCCTGTGCTGGACACTGCGGGGGGAGGGGTGCAGGGGTTGGGTGACACCAGGATCTGGGCATCCCTGCGTGCTGGGTCCTGTGCTGGACACTGCAGGGGGAGGGGGCGCAGGGGTTGGGTGACACCAGGATCCAGGCATCCCCACGTGCTGGGCCCTGTGCTGGACACTGCGGGGGGAGGGGTGCAGGGGTTGGGTGACACCAGGATCCGGGCAGCCCTGCGTGCTGGGCCCTGTGCTGGACACTGCGGGGGGAGGGGGCGCAGGGCAGCACTGCCCCTGGGAAGACCAGGGCCTGGTAGGACAGACGCCTGAAAGGCAGAGTTCAGAGGGAAGTGTCATTCCTTCCTGCTGGGCGGGGGAGGCAGCACTTGGACCCAACAGGGAACGTGGCTAACAGTGACTGTGGCAGTGCGTTAAATACTGACTCTTTGCAAGGCAGACTACATATATGAACCTTTAAATCTTCACAGCAAGCCTACAGTGGTGGGGTGGTGGCTTTTTCCAGATTTTATAGATGAAGAAACTGAGGCTCAGAGTATTTAAATATGCTGCCCAAATCACTCAGTCTTTGGTGGTGGAGCCAGGGCTGGAACTTAGATTTGCATTCAGAGCCTGCCACACAGCCTCTGTTACTGCCTGGTCACACGGAGCCCAAGGGAAGGGGATTCCAGGTGGCAGGATCATTTCAGGCAAACACTGAGGGTGGGAGAGGCTGACCAGTTCCCAGCTAGTTGCAGACAGGGTACATTCTAATGACAGGAGAGGAATATTGTGAATGCAGGGAAAGGAAGGACAGCCACTGGCAGAATGGAGCAGTAAATTATAGAACTTCCAAATTAACAAGAAGAAATGGAATAATAATCGCTCACATTTACCAAGTATTTATTCTGTGCCCAGCACTGAATTATTATTAGCTCATTTAATTTTCATAGTAGCTGTCTGAGATCAAGTGACTTGCCAATGGTTACACAGTGAGTAAGGAATAAGTGCTAAGCCAGGATTCCAATCTAGGCAGTCTGGCTAATGAGCTTTTCATCACTACTCCATACTGCCTCCAGAGAGGAGCAACTGGACCATACCAGCAGAATAAAAAAAAAGGAAATGGGGGGAACAATGATGTAAAATAAATAATACATGTCAAGTAAGATGGAAGGAAAAAAAGCAGTATATAAATCATTGCACTAAATATAAATGGACTAAATTCTGTTCTTAAAAGGCATAGACTTTCTGACTAGAGGTCAGGTCATGGGGCCTGGATCATGCTTCTCTTTTCCCTTCCTCCCCCAATAGTCCCTGGAGACAGCCCTCAAGTACTGCAACTATATGTTCACCACTGTCTTTGTGCTGGAGGCTGTGCTGAAGCTGGTGGCATTTGGTCTGAGGCGCTTCTTTAAGGACCGGTGAGTGGCTGGGCTGGGCTGGGGCAGCATAGGGTGGACTGCAGGATGGGGAAGTTGTCCTGACCCCTGGAAGCCTGGAGCAGTGTGAAGAAGGGAACCAGTAAACATTTGTGCACTGGTGGCCAGGGGACCCCAGGTACTGCCTGTAGCCCTGAACAGGAAGTGGCATGGTCTCATAAGAGGGGTGCAGGGCATTCTACTAGGTCCCGCTTGGTGGGTGCCTCATACTGCAGGCAGAGCAGGACCTGTCTGATGCTAATCCTCCTTAGCGACAAGTGAGGCTCACAGAGGTTGATGGACTAGCTCAAGGCCACACACAGGGAGCGGCTAGCTCAAGATTTAGATCTAGAAGTCAGAGCTTGTGCCTCCCCCCTGCAGGAGGCCAGAGATGTTTATTTAGTCTTGTCAGCCCCTGGCTTGAGGGAGCAATGGCTGTGAGGGCAGACAGGGGGCCAGCCCCCGTGGCATCTGGAGGGGCTAGTAGTGAGGGTGGCAGCACAGCCCAGTGGGCCACAATAGGAGGGTGAAGGACAACTAAGGTGTGTCTGAGCCAGAGGGCTCCTCCTCCTGACCCCCGCTCCTGCCCCCCCGTGCCCGGCTGAGCAGGTGGAACCAGCTGGACCTGGCCATCGTGCTGCTGTCCGTCATGGGCATCACGCTGGAAGAGATCGAGATCAACGCGGCCCTGCCCATCAACCCCACCATCATCCGCATCATGCGGGTCCTGCGCATCGCCCGGGGTGAGGGCCAGGGGCAGGCAACGGGGCAGGCAGGGTGGGGTGACAGTCCCAGAGTTCCCCTTGCCCGGGGACAGTGCGCAGGAGTGGGTGGGGAGCGGCAGGGGCAGGGGTGTGTCAGCACGCGGGACTCCCTGAGGAGCAGGGGACAGCAGAAGCTGGGAGGAGCTCATGGCTGCCACCTGTGTGCACGCCCTCATGCCCTTGGATGGTTTGCACTGACGCGTTTTTGTGCGCACCCTGCTCACCCTGTAGCTGCACCCACGTTCTCGTAGTGTGGACCGGAGCGCCGGACTCTGCTTGCACGCTCCTCCACGTCCTCACTCTTCTCCCACATTTACACATGTGGGCACACACACACACACACACGCACGCACACGCACGTCCCCGCTGGCACGGGGCTGAGCGGGCTGGGCTGGGTCTCGCCCGCAGTGCTGAAGCTGCTGAAGATGGCCACGGGAATGCGGGCCCTGCTGGACACGGTGGTGCAGGCTTTGCCCCAGGTAAGAGCCGCCTGTCCCGCGGCGGCCCCGCCCGGGTGTCATCGGTGGCATTCTGGGCCCTGACGTCCCTTCTCCTGAGACCTGCGCAGAGCTGGTCAGATGCCGTCTCGGGGGAGGCAGTTCCAGGTAGGGGCTATGAGAGGTGGGAAGCCCCTCCCGCCTCGCTCGCCCGCCTCACCAGCCAGTCGCCGATGCCCGCTCTGCTCCAGCTCTGCGCGGGCACCGAGGACCCGTGGGATGCCCCTGGGAGCCCTAGGCTGGCCGGGGGACAGATGCCTCAGGGCAGTGTGGGGAGGGGTCTTCAGCGTGCCCCTAAGGGAGAGGATGGCGCCAGACACTCGCTGGGGAAATCAAGGAAGGCGGCCCAGGAAAGGGGACCTTTGAGCTTGACCTCCAAGGGGGGCTTGGCAGAAGGAGGTGGCAGTGCGGATGGAGAGGTTCCGGTGTGGCATTGCAGGAGGGCCAGCACGACACCCTGACCAGGGTGGGGGCCCCTGAGAAGGAGAAGGGGACCCCTTCTCAGGAGATCCCCGAGAAGTCCCTCTTCCCACCCTCTGGTCCGTGGAGGGGATATAGGGCCAAGGCCACAGAGGGTATATTTTTCATCCTCCTGGGAATTCTGCAGTCCCAGTCCCTCCCTCCCTTGTTGTCCTGACTGCTCGAGGCTCTTTCTCCCTCCCCTCAGGGTGGCCTCTGCTCCGAGGTGAGCCTTGTGCACGTTCGTGAATCCATTGGGACTCATGGAGTCTTAGGACATTTTGGGCATCTTAAAATACAAGGCACAGATACAGCACACTGAAAATAAGGATAAAAGATTCACAGCCCTGGGAAGGCAGAAGCAGAGCTAATCCTTTCAGGGACCTGGGCTAAGGACACCAGTGAGTTTTGTTCTCGAGTTTGTTGTGAGCTTCCCAGCAGCCTAGTTACAAAGGAAAAGCAGCATAGCTCTCGTCAGGTCAGGATGGAAAGCAAGGGCATTCATTCAAAGAAATGTGGGTTTCCTAACACTAAATTCCTTCAGAGGACTTTGTCACATGGGAGATGGGGGTGATGCTGGGCTGGGGCCTATGCAGACAGGAAGTGAGTTGGAGCCCAGACTTGGGCCATCCTGCCCGGGATCAAAGCCTGGGCCCTGGGCATGTGACTTTCCTTCTCGTGCCTCAGTTTTCTTGCCTGTGAAATGGGGGTGATGATGAAGCATCACTCCCTCAAGTGCTTATTTCAAAGGTTGTCATGAGGTTTCAAATAGGTAACGCTTATACAGCACCTGAGAGGGCCTGGTTCATGGGAAGTGCCACAGAGAATCTGCTAAGGATGGGGGTGGCGGGTGAGTGCCCAGCCCCCCAGGCCTCCTGGCCCCCCCGCCCCTCCCCCACTGCTGAGCTGGTGCAGGGCACACGGAGATGTTTGGGGGTCCCCGCCCCAAGTAGGAGACACATTATGGAAATTAAAGTTTCATCAGCGCGCTAAGAGAAGCACGTGGCAAGTACCACGTGGCCATGGCTCGGGGCTTACCCCTCCAAATCTATCGGCCGACGCCTACTGTGTCATGTGGACACTGGACATCTCCCCAGTGCTGTGGAAACGAGACTTCAGCCTTTCCCACCATGGGAGGAAGCATCAGGGAAGGCTTCTCAGGGGAGGTGACCCCAGAACTGGGCTTTGCTGGGTGGGGAGGAGGCATTCGCCAGGCAAAAACAGAGGGTGTTCCCTGCGGGGGGAACAGAGCGTGCAGAGGCGCGACAGGGTCCGTTTGCTGGAGTGCGGGGCAGGACGGCCAGGCTGGGAGGGTCCTCAGGGCAGCTCACCGCAGCCTTCGGCGCCAGCACGGCAGACCCGGGCCTTATCCCGCGGGCAGCAGGTGCCGTAGAAGCGCTGTGGACAAGGGGGCCTCGACCAGCGCCGCCTGTTAGGAGGTCGCCCCGGCCACTGGGAGCAGAAGGGACTGGAGGGAGAGGTCGGGGCAGAGGAGCCAATGCGGACTGCAAACGCTGGCAGCCCCGGCCTGGCCCGGCAGGAGGCTGAGCTCTGAGGGCGTCGACCACGCCAGGTCCATCGCAGCAGTCGGGGCCTCACAGTGTGCCTCGTAGGCGCTCAATGAGTGCTTGTTTTATCGACGACTGGCACATCATTTAATTAGCCAGACGCCACAGGTGCAGAATGGCTGGGAAGGAGACCCTTCTCTGGAGTGGAGGGACGTGCGGGTCTGTGTTAGCGGGCCCGCTCTCCGGCAGTGACGTGGCTGTCTGCTCCTGTTCGTATGGGCCCTCCGCGGGCTCGAGGCGCTCCGTTTCCAGGGCAAGAACGTGGCTGAGCCTTTGCTCATCCACAGCACGGGTGAAAGGGGGTCCCCGGTGGGCGGACAGGTTTGAACCAGGCCTGAGATCTGGGACGCTTTCTCCCAGGGGAGCCGTGGGATGGGGTGGCCGGGTCTGCAGGAGGCCTCCAGGGCCACAGGCCTGTGTGGTTCCTGTGTTGCGCTCCTCTCCGTGGCCGGGCCCCGTGCTGGCCTGAGGAGCCAAATCCCACCTCACCCACTTGTACCCGCCCCCCGCCTTGAGGACTTCCCAGGCCAGCAGAGGACAGTGATAGGGACACACAGTTATACTTACACTGGCAGCTTGCATCCTGGTCTGCCTGGTACAATCCGGGTGGCCTTCATGGAGGAGGTGGCACCAGTGATGAGACTTCCTTCTCTCTCTGTCTCTCTCTCCATTCATCTATGGAACCTTACTGACCAGGCAAGGTGTGTAGCATAGATTGTGTGCATGGACCTGGGGCCAGCCTGCTGGGTTTGAACCCCTGCCTCCCACTCACTAGCTGTGTGACTCTGGGCAAGTGACATGACCTCTCAGTCTGTCTTTTCCTTCGAGGAATGGGGATAAAAGATGGTTCGCAGACTATTGCGAGGAGTAAGTGGGCGAAGTGCTTGAAACGCGGCAGCTCACGGTCAAGGCTTCACGTGCGTTTCGTTGTTCTGAGTCCCGTGGGGGACCTGGCCGGCCCTCCAGGTCCCGGGGGGGCAGACTTGGACACGCAGCCTGGTGACAGGTCACAGCCGCCCGCCCCTCAGGCTGGCCCGTGTGTGGAATCTGGGCCCCGCCTCACCCGCCCTCCCCACAGGTGGGCAACCTGGGCCTGCTCTTCATGCTGCTCTTCTTCATCTACGCCGCCCTGGGGGTGGAGCTCTTCGGGAAGCTGGGTGAGCGACTCCCGGGCGGATGGCCTTGGGGGGGGCCCGAGACCCCTCACCTGTCGCACCGGGGTCTCTATATTGGGGAGATGCCCCCACAGCCAGGCCCGTGGCGGGTGGCCCTCAGCTGCCCAGGCCGCTTTCTCGGTGTGGGAGGAGCTCCCGGGAGATGGTCCAGGCCTGTGTGCCGGACCCAGCTCGGAGCTCCCGGGGGGCTAGTGTCCCAGGGAACCTGCCCTCCCTGCCCCCGTGCCAGCGCCCGTCCTGAGCTGGCCCCGCAAGCAGAGAGGCAGGGCGAGGGCAGAGGGCGGCACAGCCCAGGCCCAGCTCAGCCCTGCAAGGTCAGCTCCAGAAAGCCAGGCTCCCTGGGGGCGGCCCCGGTCCCCCGTCCTGTCTCCCAGACACTGATTCTTGGGAGGGGAGAAGAGAGTGACCCGCTGAGTCTAAGCCCCAGCTGTGCCCCTCACTGGGCTGGGCGCAGTCCTCGTGCGCCCCCCGGGGCCGTGGGGGCTCCTGAGAGGAGGCGGAGGTGCCGGGTCAGGCAAGCCGTGCCCGTGGGCAGGGCTGACCCCTCTCCCCTTTCAGTGTGCAACGACGAGAACCCATGCGAGGGCATGAGCCGGCACGCCACCTTCGAGAACTTTGGCATGGCCTTCCTCACGCTCTTCCAGGTCTCCACCGGCGACAACTGGAACGGGATCATGAAGGTACTCGAGGCACGAGGGGGGAGGAAGGACTCAGGCGGGTTGCCGGACGAGCCTGGATGCTGGTCCTGCTGCTCAGGGCTCCCTCCCGTGCCCATACCTCCCTGCGCCCCCACCTCCCTGCGCCCCACCTCCCTGCGCCCCACCTCCCTGCGCCCCACCTCCCTGCACCCCCACCTCCTGCGCCCCCACCTCCCTGCGCCCCCACCTCCCCACACCCCACTGCACGTGGAGGGGTGTGCAGGGCGCAGAGAGGTGGAAGGACCCACCTGGGACCCCGCAGCATGGTGAGGGGAGCTAAGGCCGGAACAGGCTCTCTGCCCACCACCACTGAATCCCCCACTGCTGCCGCGGATCAGTGCTGGGGTTCCAGGGGAGACAGAGGGGACTTGGGGCCTGGCAGGACTGCAGCCTGCCCAGGGCCGGGCCCTCAGGCGTCTGCTGCCCTGACGAGTCCCCAGCACGGGCGTCCTGTCTGCAGCCCACAGCCTGGCCTGGGCTGGGCAGGGAGGGCTCACAGAGGGCAGAGGGGAGGCCTCTGCTTGAGGCCCTTGGGGTGGAGGTGGCTTGCTGGAAATGGCCCCCAACAATTGGGGGTCCTCCGAGCAGGAAGCGGGGAGGCAGGGGGAGGAAAGCTGACCTCGGCCCCGAGGCAGGAGGGTGGGGGAAGCGTGCTGGGCTCTGCTGGGCTGGGCTGCGCTGGCACGAGACCAGGAAGCAAGGACAGGGTCTGGTCCAGGCGGCTTGGCCAAGCATGCACCCCTCCCCCGCCCAACCCGGCCCAGGGGCCCCTGAAGGAAGCCCCGACGCTTGGCGGGGTCAGTGGGCCCGAGAAGGGAGCAGAGGGCGCTGGGCCGAGGAAGGCAGATGCCACCGCAAAGCCCACGTGGGCCGGGCAGCCAGGGCCACCTGGGGGGGGGTTGAGTCCCGGCCTCTCCCTCTGGCAGCCTCTGTTGCTCCTCTGTTGGGTCGGGCTGGGGGTCAGGGGAGGGGCCGGGCCGTCCTCACCGCCCCGCCCCGCGCAGGACACGCTGCGGGACTGCACCCACGACGAGCGCAGCTGCCTGAGCAGCCTGCAGTTCGTGTCGCCGCTGTACTTCGTCAGCTTCGTGCTCACCGCGCAGTTCGTGCTCATCAACGTGGTGGTGGCCGTGCTCATGAAGCACCTGGACGACAGCAACAAGGAGGCGCAGGAGGACGCCGAGATGGACGCCGAGATCGAGCTGGAGATGGCCCATGGCCTCGGCCCCAGCCCACGGCCGCCCTCCAGCTCCCCCGGGGCCCCTGGCCACGGGCCGGGCGGGCCGGGCTGCGGGGGCGACGCCGAGGGCCGCCGGTGCCGGCGCTGCTACTCGCCAGCCCAGGTGGGTGCAGCCGGACAGGTGCGGGGGTCGCCGAGGGCGGGCGCCTCGGGCTCGGGGGGCAGCCGGGCCGCCAGGCCTCGGACACAGACCTCGGCCTTTTCGGCACCCCCTGCTCAGACCCATGGAAGGGTGACCCTGTGACGAGGGTGTCGGTCCCAGGCCAGGGCCGCAGAGAACGGGGAGGGCAGCTGTGCCCCGCCCGCCCCGCAGTCCCGGGACCCAGCCGATAATCCCGCCTGTCCCCGCCCCGTCCCCGTCCGCCTAGGAGACCCTGTGGCTGGACAGCGTCTCTTTAATCATCAAGGACTCGCTGGAGGGAGAGCTGACCATCCTCGACAACCTGTCCGGCTCTGTCTTCCACCACTACGCCTCGCCCGCCGGCCACCGGAAGTGCCACCATGACCCGCAAGAGGTGACGCAGCCCGGCAGGGGCCCGGTGGGGCCCAAGGGAAAAGGCTGGCCCTGGGCCACTGAGTCCAGGCTCCTGTGCCGTGGCCCAGAGCACCGCGAGCCGGGTCCCAGCACTGTGCCGCCCGCGGCAGGTGCCCAGGAAGGGCGGCTGCTGGCGGGAAGCCCCGTGTGCTCTAGTGCAGCTGTGCCCTCCTGAGCCCTCCCCGGGGTGGCCCAGCCCCAGGGGCTGTCAGGGCGGGTCCAGCTCCCACTGGAGGTCTGAGCTGCTCCACTCCCCTGCCCTGCGGGGGCCGCATGTTCTCCAGGGTGTCTGTGCCCTGTGTCTCCCCTGCCTGTGGCACGCTGTGCAAGTGTCCACACGGGACCCCAGAGGGGTCAGACCCGGCCGGGCCTTGATGGGCGCTTGGTCTGGGGGCGAGTGGACACCGGTGGTATTCACAGCCCACGGCACCTCCCCTGCCCTTCGGCCCAGACAGCATGATGGGCCCGGCTTCCATCAGGGGTGGCCACTGTGTCACCGTCGTGTGTGCCCCAGCCGGGCCCCAGCACAGGGCGTATGTGCCATGCCTGCCCAGCCGGCCTGTGGACCTTTCTGACCTCGGCTCTGCATCTTTCAGGGGGCTAGGCCTGCCCCACCCCGGCCCCAGGGGTGACCCGAGGCCACCACCTCCCCCTGCAGGTGCAGCTGGCCGAGACGGAGGCCTTCTCCCTGAACTCAGACAGGTCCTCGTCCATCCTGCTGGGCGACGACCTGAGTCTCGAGGACCCCACGGCGTGCCCGCCTGGCCCCAAAGACAGCAAGGTGAGCAGCCTCGCGGGCCGGAGCAGGCAGGCGTGTCTCTGCAGCCAGGCCCCTGCCCCCACCCCGCAGCCAGGCCCCTGCTTCTTCCCCGTGCACATTTCAGCGTCACCAGCGTTGTGCTGGGCCTTCATCTCCTGCTGGTCAGATGAGGGCGTGAGGGCTCAGAGAGGTGGAGTGACGTATCTGAGGTCACACAGCGACAAGCCTGGTCACAGCGTCCCGTAGTCTCCACCGCTGCTCGTTGCTCTGGGAACATTTTATCCCTCCGGCGGGGTGGTCCCAGGCAGGCCCGCCCCACGGCGAGGGGAGGTGCGCGAGGCACAAGCGGCTCCCCTGCGCCTGCTGCTGTTTGCCGGCAGCTCAGGGTGTGACGGGCGCTTTGGCGCCTGCACGCGGGAGGAAATGGGGGTCCTGAGAAGTGAGGGGACTTGCCCACGACGCAGCCAGGAGTGACAGAGCGGGGAGGCTAGCCCGGGGCGGTCCCAGCCTCTGCCGCCCGCCCGTCAGCCTGAGGAGGCCCCTGTGCTGGTCTTAGGACTCGGGCGAGTCTGTCCGACTCGTGACCTCGGGCCAAGGCGTTCCTGCCCAGCCGGCTTGGCCCCGCTGCCTCCCAGGGCTGTCCCCCATCAGCTCAGGGAGGGCTCGTCGGGGGAAGATGTCCCCCCACCCGCCTCTCTGTGTCCCCCGCCCCCGACAGCTGACAGCTCCTGCACTCCCTGCACCCCCATCCTGCTCTCCTACCCAGGATGTCCAGGGGCACATTTTCTAGGGCCTGGTTGGGCTTAGGTGGGGTGCAGTCTGGTAAACTGAGGCCACGTGTTGTGCTGTGTATCATCGGGTACAGAGTGAGGGAGACCTCAGAGGGGAGTAACCAGGGGAACCACTGCCTGCCTGGGGCATCCCAGGGGGCTTCCCGCAGGGGGTGCGGGCCCTTTCACCTGGGCTTTGGAAGAAAGTGATGGCTGGCCAGGTGGAGGAGGCGAGAGGAAGGTTGTCCCAGCAGTGAGGGCAGCCTGAGCTTGGCACTGTGGAGCAGGGTGTGCAGGCAGCCATGGGAGCTCAGCCCCTGCCCCATCCTGCCGTCCTCCCTCCCTCTCCCTGCAGGGTGAGCCGGACCTACCTGAGCCCATGCGTGTGGGGGACCTGGGCGAATGCTTCTTCTCCTTGTCCACCACGGCCGTCTCATCGGGCCCGGAGAACTTCCTGTGTGAGATGGAAGCGATCCCGTTCAACCCCGTCCAGTCCTGGCTGAAACACGACAGCAGCCAAGGTGAGCGGTGGGAGCCCTAGCGGCTCCCCACAGCCCTGATCTTGGGCACCTGCGTCACAGGGAGGTGGTTGAGTTTTTCCTTATTATTTTTGCCCAGACCATTATATTTAGTCCAGAAAGAACCAGTGGCTGACAATAAGAGATAGACTCTCAGGCCTGATATAACAATGATAAAAGACCAAGACCCAAATAATACAGAGAGATGAGATAATTACAGCAGAAACTTCAGCTCAGGGAAGCTTCATGCGGAGCTTCCTAGGAGCCATGGTGAAAAGGGAAGCAGGCACACACAGCTCTCATTATCAAGCCAAAGGAGAGCTGCCAGATTATTGAGGCGTTTTGTAGAGCAGAATTTGAGTGGTGTTTGCCCCATACATCTTCACACAAGGTGGTGTTAAACATCAGAAAGCCGAGTATCTGCAACAGCCCTTTTGTAAAATGTCCTGACACTTAGACTTCGGCCCCACCCCCAGTGTCCTGTTTGTGCTTGGGCCCATAGCTAGGCTGTGGGCACGAGGGCAGGGGACTGAGCTGGCCTGTCCACCACTTGGGCTCACTTCTGCCTGTAGTCCTCTTGGAAGGTGACAGTCCTCCTAGAGGGTGACAGGAATTTGGCTTCATAGCTCTGGCTTGTGGAGGAAGTCAGAGTGATGAGTAGCCTAGCAGAAGAGGGAGCCCCAAGACCCGGAGCCCACCTGTGTACCCTCCTGGGACCCCTGCGTTGGGTACCTCCTGGGGGCTAGGGGTGTGGTGACTCTTCTGAGGACCCTCCCTAAAGCCGATGGCCTCTCAGCCAGACGTGGTGGCTGAGGCGCCGAGGCCTCAGACTTCCCCACCCAGAGGTCAGGGCACTGGGTCTGACCCAAGAGCCATTCTGATTGGGTGACATCTCATCCCCTTCGTTAACCATTTATTTACATTTTCCTTAAATAATAAGATGGTGTAAGATAGGAATCCCGCCTGGGGACAATCCCGCCTGGGGACGTTCAGGCTGCCCAGCCGTCTTGGGTAACTTACATCTTCCCAGATTCCTTTACCCCACACTCATCCTGCAAGGCGCCGAGGGGACCGTGGCAGTGGCCACCCAAGACCTGCCCTGGCCCTCAGAGTCCCGCGCTTCGTCCTTGCCTCCCGCTGTCTCCCATCCAGCGAAACGCCTGCCCAGGGCTGGGACACCCCATCCGCCTGCTGTCACGAGGGGCCCCAGGCCTGGCTGGGCCCCTGGGTGTGAGGAGCTGAGGGCTGGCTGGTGGGCACCCACCGTGCGCCAGCTGCTGGGCTGGGTGCTGCTGTTCCTTCAGCTCATGTCCTCGAGGCGGCGTCGAGGTGGCGGCCTCAGGGCTTGAGCCCGGCTCCGCCTGACTCCAAAAGCTTTGCCTTTGCCGTGCTCCCAGGAATCACAGGGGGAAACTGAGGCTCAGAGAGAGGGACTTGCCCAGTTTGACAGGCAGCCCTTCCCTGCCTGCCCAGTGGGGACAGGTGCTCGGCCTGAGCCCCTCCCCCAACTCGGCCTCCCCCCTCCCCAGCACTGCCCCCGAGCCCCTTCTCCCCGGACGCCTCCAGCCCGCTCCTGCCCATGCCGGCCGAGTTCTTCCACCCCGCCATGCCTGCCAGCCAGAAAGGGCAGGAGAAAGGCACCCGCGCCGAGAGCCTCCCCAAGATCGCCCTGCAGGGCTCCTGGGCATCCCTGCGGTCCCCGAGTGTCAACTGCGCCCTGCTCCGGCAGGTATGGGCACCTGCAGGCTCCAGAGAGAGGTCCTGGGGAGGGGAGGGGCGGGGAGGGTGGCCAGAGGCCCAGGGGCTGTGACTGCATGATGGTGCAGGGGCGTCGCAGATGGTGGGGGCTGAGGAGGGTCTGTGGGGTCTTGAGGGGAGGGGGAGGGTGTAGCGGGAGGCTTTGTGGGGTGACGGGGTGCTGGGAGGACACCTTGGGTGCTCTGGGTGGGTGTGGGTGGGGCTTGATTACTAGGGATGGAGCTGGAGGGCAGGCCTGGGCGGTGGAGGCCCGGCCTGCAGGGTCCCCTGTACTGGGTTGGCCAGGGCCACAGCCCTCAGGCCACCCCGGAGCACAGAGCAGCGTGGTGGGGGCTGGGCTGCAGGGCGCTCTTGTGATCATTTATTCATTTAGCGACTGCCCCCCCCCCCCCGTCACGTGCTGGCTGCGTGCAGGACTCAAACCCCTGCCTCCTGGGCTTGCAGCTCAGTGGTCACTGTGTGCGTGGCAGGGGTGCGGGAGGAGAGGCCAGGAACCACAATAAATGCCTGATGCCGAGGAAAGCCTCCCCCAGGGAGGGGCATAGGTGCTGACAGTTCAGTGGCGTGGCTGGGGGCTTCCTAAGGAAGCCGGGCACGTGCCAGGGCTGTGGGGCTGGGTGGGTGGCAACTGAGTGAGCAGGGGAGGTGAGGGGATGGGGCGAAGGGAGGCTGAAAGGGCCTGGGGTGGGGGGGCCGGAGCTCTCACTCTTGGGGAGCCAAGAGCCTGCTGCCAGGGGCAGGGCTGTCTGACTTGGGGGTGAGAAGGGTGGTGTCAGCTGTCCCCTGACATCCGGGGGATGGGCAGGGCAGGGAGCCAGGTCAGAGGCCGCTGCGGTGACCCCTGAGAGCGGGGCGTGGTGCAGGGGAGAAGCCATGCTCTGAGGGGAGCTCCGCAGGGACTGGGGTGCTGCATGCATACGCTGGGAAGGGTGGTGTCCCCGTCACTGGGACAGGCTGGGGACACGGATCCCCTCCTACTCCCCGCAGGCCACTGGCAGCGACACCTCACTGGACGCCAGCCCCAGCAGCTCGGCGGGCAGCCTGCAGACCACGCTGGAGGACAGTCTGACCCTGAGCGACAGTCCCCGGCGCACCCTGGGGCCCCCGGCACCCACGCTGGGGCCCCGGGCCGGCCTGTCTCCAGCCACCCGGCGCCGCCTCAGCCTGCGGGGCCGGGGCCTGTTCAGCCTGCGCGGGCTGCGGGCGCACCAGCGCAGCCACAGCAGCGGCGGCTCCACCAGCCCGGGCTGCACGCACCACGACTCCATGGACCCCTCGGACGAGGAGGGCCGCGGCGGCGGGGGCGGCGGGGGCGCGGGCAGCGAGCACTCGGAGACGCTCAGCAGCCTGTCGCTCACCTCGCTCTTCTGCCCGCCGCCCCCGCCGCCGCCCGCCGGCCTCACGCCCGCCAGGAAGTTCAGCAGCACCAGCAGCCTGGCGGCCGGCCGCCCCGGCGCCCCCGCGGCCCCGCCCCGCGGCCTGGCACGGAGCCCCTCGTGGGCCACGGACCGCAGCAAGGACCCCCCAGGCCGGGCCCCTCGGGCCTTGGGCCTGGGCCCTACCGCGCCCGAGCCGCAGCCGCCCCCCGGGGAGCTGGAGCCCGGAGACACCGTGAGCAAGAGGAAGAGATGAGGGGCTGCCCGGCAGAGGCCAGCGCCAACCCGCCCGCCCCGTCTCACCTTCTTTTACCTCAGGAGCCAGGGAGCAGACAGCAATACTTGTCCACACCTGGGAGTTGCGCAGGGCAGCCGGCGCGGACAGGGAGACACGGAGGAGGGGCCGGGTCAGCTGAGGCTCAGCCGTGGCCCAGCCGTGCCCCTGCAGTGCATATACACACACATATGCAGATATATATATATACATAGACAGACATATATATATATTTATTTTTTTTACTGAGAGCTTATGACTTCCGGAAAGTGCTAGAGTTGGGGAGTGAGGGCCGGGCCCGGACAGGGGTTGTGTCTGACTCTTAAGACCCAGGCCGGCCACGGCAGCCGTGGGTTTGCTGTTTCCCCGGGTTCAGAGTAGCTTGGAGAGGACCCTCAGGGGGGCCCTGTGGCCGGGAGCCAGGCCCAGAGGAAGAGGTGCAGTTCAGGGTGCGTTCTGTTTTCCCTTTAAAGAAGAAATGCTGCTAAGATCCCGCATCGCCCCTCACGTTTCGGGGTGCCTGTCTTGTCATTCCTGACCGTCTCGTTGTTGCGAAGTCTTCTGTAGACACCCCAGAGCACACAATCTCTCTTAGTCAACCAGTTAGATGTCTCTCTTTAGAAAATCAGGGGTGAGTAGCTGTGTTTTCCTAGGGCAGGGGTGGAGATGGCGGGCAGCTGCAGGCTGGGCAGGGGCGCTGGCTCCAGCTCTGCGCCCTTCCGGGGGTGGGAGCTCTGCCCCAGGAAGGCAGAGCGCAGGGCCAGAGGCAGCAGGAGAGAGGGAGGGTGAAGGGCTTGAGCAGCATGGCACGCCTGGCGGGCCTAGGGCACCTGCCTGGGCTGTGCCCGGCCTGGCAGTCAGGTGCTCGGTTCCTTGCTGCCTTTGGCCCCAGCGTGGGCCCTGAGCTGTGGACATTCCCGTGCTACCCCGACCCTGAGCAGCTCTGCCCCTGCCCCAGTGGAGTTCAGGGTCCAGCAGGTGTGATAAGGTTCTAGGCAAGGGTGGGGGCACCTGGGCGCTGGGCCCAGCCCCGCCCCTGCCCCAGCTCCCTGAGCCCGGCCAGGTCACCTGCAGGCCACACCCTCTGACCCGTCTGCCTGTCCTTGGGCCTCCAGCTCTCATCTGGCACTGGCCTCCCAGACGGGTTCCAGACGGCTGTGTTTTATTTGAATAGTCATGCATTTATTTCAGTATTTATTAGGAAAAAAAATAATACATCGAACCCATAATTTCACAGAAATACTGCTTAAGTCAAGGCTCGGTTTTAAAAAGCGAGTGGACTTTTTCTTTCGAGTCAGTTTAAACCAAAAGATGGGGGATGTGTGGGGGCGTGGGGACGCGCAGACGTCACAGGGGTGGCGGGGGTGTGGGAGACGCTTGTGCTCCTGCGGTGGCCCGGGTCCCTTGCCTGTGCGGGGGTCTCCTCTGAGGCTGCGGCTGGGCCCCGAGAGGGGCCTCGTCCCTGTTCCCAGGCCCGGACTGAGAGAACTTGGCCAGACTGGCGGGGACCCTGGGCCGGGGCCCCGCAGCGATGGCCTGAGCTTTGTCTGTGCAAAGCCCTTCCCCTGAGAGGCAGGGAAGGGTCGCCAGGCCCGCTTCACTGCTGGGGAGACCGAGGCCAGCGGGATCCCTCAGGGCCCTGGCGGCGGAGGCGCGGCCACCGTGGTGCGCTGACGCCTACATGCTGGGCTGTGAAAACACAACCCCAGTGGGTCCAAGGTGGGCAGGTTCGCAGGGTCCAGCCCGGCCCGGGCCTCTGGTGGCACCGTGTGGTTGGCGGGCGGGCGGGGTTGGCTCCTGAGCCCCTCTGAGCACCCCTCCTCACCGGAGAGCGGTGGTGCTGGCGAGCGCTGGCTCGGGGCTGGGCTGGAGGGCTTCCGTGCGGGGTCGGATGAGCCTGTGGGGCGCTGGGCCCACGTCTAGCACTGCCCCCTTTCCCTTATCGGGGGCGGAGACCCTTGTCCGTGGCAGAAGGGGGTGCGGGCAGGCCTGTCTGTTTCTCGCTGGCCGCAGCGTGGGCAGCTGGGAGGAGGCAGTCACGCGTGGTTCTCGAGGCAGCGTGCCGCTGGAGGGCGTGCGTGCGTGCCGGGGCGTTCTAGGTGGCGGGGCACGCGTGGCAGAGCCTCGTGGGCCCGACGGCAGGGGCGCCTAGGAGGTGGGAGCGGCCGGTGTGGGGGCACAGAAGCTTTGCCTGGGGGAGTTGAGGGAGATGGGGCTCGTCCCCAGAGGGCCCCAAATGCTGATCCCAGGCACTCGGCCTCGTTCCTGTGGGCCAAGGGACAGGGAACCAGGGAAGCCGAGACTTGCTGGTGAGGACAGCCGAAAAGGGAAGGGTTGGGCCAATGGCCCTTCCTGCCTCCCGAGTCCTGCAGCCTGGGGCCACGGGCTCAGGCCCATGCCTGTCCATCGCAAAAGCACAAGCCCACCCCAACCCCCCGGGCCGGCGTGGGGAGAGGGGGGGTCCAGGTGCATCTGTCTGCGAGGCTCTGCAGGGTGATGGCTGGCAGGCGCCACGGCATCTGCACAGAGGGACCCAAGACCAGCCTGGGGCCGTGGCCTGCCCTGGCCAAACCTGCTTCTCCCCCCTGCCCTGCCTCCCGCCCCGGGCAGCCCCTCAGAGGAGTATGAAGCGTGCGCGGTGCCCGCCTGTCTGCCTGTGTTCCCCCAGACCCTGCCCTGGAGCCCTCCACCTCCAGGGCTACCGCCAGCCCCCTTTGCTGCATTGTGTAAGGGCTGGGGGTCGTAGAAGCTGCTCTTTAGCCCAGACACACATACTCTTTTTGTCTTTGTGCAATAATCAGTGTCCCTGGCAGAGCCGGGGCGAGCTGGGCCTGGGAAGAGGCAGAGGCTACCTCCTCCAGGAAGCCCTCGGCCTGCCCCGCGCCGTGACTACAGCACCCCCGGGCACTGTACAGTTTCTATGGTGTGAATGAGCTTCCCCCTAGTTGCTGATGGCGCTGGTACCTGCTGGCCCAGATGGCCTGGGTGTAGAGAAACCAGGCGGCAGCCACCACCAGTGTTGTTTTGAATAAAAACCCAGAAGCCTATTTAAGAACGTCTCTGTGTCTCTGCTGTTCCTTCCCCAGTGGGCGGGTGTCGAGCTGGGGCTCCTCCCGGGCGGTGGGGGGGATGTGGGGGGAGCAGAGCTCAGCAGGCCCAGTCCCCGGCCCTGCCTGCGGGGCTCGTCACCGTCCTCTCCTGCGTGTATCTACCCTCCTCTCCTGTTTTTCCCGCCCCACCCATCCCGTGAGTGCCCGACATCGACAGTTGTCTTTGCCTGGAGCACTGAACCCCAAAGCTGGGCAGTCGTGTGAGGGACACGCTGTGGCCACTTGCCAGCCCCCACCCCTGCCAGCCAACAGATTTGAGCAGGGACCCCCAGTGCTATGAGCAGTCCTACTTACGGTCAGGTCTCAGCTCGAATATTGCCTCCTCCGGGAAGCCTTCCAGGCTGCCCCGTGGCTTGGGCTGGTGTCCCCTTTGTCCCACAGCTCCCACTTCTCCTCCCACACCAGCCCTTCCTCCCCACACCCCTGTCTGTTTTCCAACTGGGTCCCCGTCAGACTGCTGGCTGGAAGACAGCGGCCGTGTTTGCTCCTCCCGGCCCAGAGCCTCAGCAAATGTCAGCTCCTGGCCGTGCTTTGGAAGCAGAAGGGATTTCAGAGACCGGTGACCCCTGCTCTGGTTCTCGGCCCGAGGAAACAGGCCGGGGCGGGCAGCGCGGCGCGCGCAGAGGCTGGGGTGACCGCACAGCACCGCCACCCCCGGAGCTCGCGGCCGCCGTCCTCTGGGGCGCCCCCGGGGAGCAAAGCCCTGATGCGTCTTCCGCTCTCACCCATTAATAATGGGATTAAAAGCAAGTTGCTGCCAAGGAGAGAGACAGCCTTTAAAAAACATTTTAAGAGAACGAAAAACTTCAGCCATCAGCACTTTTTATTTAGACCTGAATTCATGAATTTTAACCAAATAAACAGAGGCATGTTAGGTATTAATATATGTACGATTATGCAAAACCACTATTATGGCTGTAATGAAAATTAGATTCTGACTCAGTGGTAGAGTTCCAGGAGGGAGGCATCCTCTGGTTTCTAGCGCTGTGACCTCGGATTGCCGTTGTCATGGTAACGGGGCTGCCATGGGGATCTGTGGCTGGGAGGCTGGCCCTGTGGGGAGGGCGGGGACAGGGGCAGTTCGGCTGTGTAGACCTGCAGGCCCGAGTCTGGGCTGGGCCAGTGGAATCTGGGTCTCCTGGGCAGAGGCCAGCCCGAGCCTCAGAGGAGAGGAGCTGGGTGGGCAGAAACAGCAGGTGCACAGTGTCCCCGCTCAGCCACATCTCCTGCTCCCCGCTGTACTGCCCCCAGGGAGGCACTCTGCCATCTTTATAGGAAACCTTAGCAGAGCACCCACTGGGTGCCAGGCCTGTGGCAGGCGCTGGGGACACAGCAGGCAAAGGTCCCTGTGCTCGTGGAGCCCGCACCTCAGAGCCGGAGGCAGAGCATAGACAAAAAGCAAACAGACACGTGAGCTGGGCCATTTCTGAGCCTGCCAGTGCCACGAAGGTAACAGGGCAGGCAAAGTGATCTGGGTGGTCCGGGGTGGCCTGGCTGGGGAGACCTGAGGGCCAGAGGGGAGAGCCCTGCTGAGGCAGTGGTGACCTCTTTCCAGATAAGGGACAGGAGGCTCAGAGGGCAGCAGCCAGATAAGATATGGACACAAGTTACATTTGAATTTCAGATAAACCATGAATAATTTTTTAGTGGAAGTAGGTCTCATGCAATATTCGGGACACATTACACTAAAATGTTATTTGTTGTTTACATCTGAGATTTAGATTTAACTGGGTGTCCTGTATTCTTTTCTGCTAAATTGGCAAGGGTGTCGGAGGGGAGGTGACCTGCCCAGGCCGTGAGTGGCAGGGCAGGGGTGGGCCAGGTTCTGCCCATTCACCCCCACACCCCTGCCCGGGTCCCCTGGGAGGCTGCTGGGGGCCCCCCCACCTTGCCCCTGCAGTGCCCTCTCACTCTGAGCCTTGGGGTGGGGGGATCGAGGTGAGACGCCATCCGATTCCCTGTCGCCGTTCACTGGCTCCCGTGGCTCCCTGCGCCGAGCGCTCCGGGCCCTGCGTGTGCTCGTCCTCACCCCCGGCCCAGCGCGACTGCATGGGCTGGCCACGCTGCCCTGCTCTGCCCTCCCTCCCCCGCCTCTTCCTTCCTCAGCCTCCGAGCCCCCACTCAGGCGTCACCATCTTGAGAAACTTTCCCACAAGTCCAGGTGGTCCCCACTTCCGATCACTCTCCGCTCCTCACTTTAAAAATATCAGCCTTATTTGTCTTTATTGTGATCAAATACACATGACGTGAGATTTACCGTCTCAACCATTTTGAAGTGTACAGATCAGTAGTATATTAACATTCATAATGTGCAACCCTCACCACCATCCAGCTCCAGAACTTTTGTCCCAGACTGAAACTCTGTGCCCAATAAATACTCACTCTCCATCCTCTGGCCCCTGGCAGCCACCACCCCTCTGTTGTGTCTCTCTGCATTTGGCTGCTCTCGGTACCCCACAGGAGTGGAACCATAACAGTATTTGGTCTTCTGTGAGTGGCTTATTTCACCTAACATAATATTGTCCGGGTTCATCCACGTTGCAGCAGATGTCAGAATTCCTGCCTTTTTTAAGGCTGCGTAACATTTCACTGTGTGTCTAAACCACACCGTGATTCACTTTGTTGCAGTCACCTGTCGGCTGTTGTGAACAGTGCTGCTGTGAACATGGGTGTACAAATGTCTCTCTGAGTCCCACTGTCACTCTAGGGTGTGTCCCCAGCAGCGGGACTGCTGGGTCCTACGGTGAGCCACGGCGTTAATGTCTGCAGGGCCCGCCGTGCTGTCTCCATGACTGTCCCACATTCCCACCGCCGCGACTCGCGAGTATGTGAGCCTAGATTGGTACTTGTGTGTATTATATATAGATTTTCTTTTGCCTCCTGCATGTTTCTCTTTCCATTTTCCCTCCTCTCTTTTTAGCGCACTTTTGCCTGCTTGCCTCGGGGGACATCTGTGACTTGCGTTGTGTAGTCCTCAAGACTTCCTGACGTTTATCTCCAAAAGCCCAGGGGAGAACTTGGAGGGTTTGTAGAGAAGAGAGGAGAGGGCTCGCAGCAAGCAGGAGAGAGGGACTGGGTTCCGACCCCAAGAGCGGTGGCCATAGAGAGCACTGGCCTGGCCACAGTCCCCAGGGCCAAGCGCGGTCTGGAAGAAGGCAAGGCCGCCAGTCCAGGCAGGTTCAGCCCTTGGCCGCAGGGCTCACGGGCAGGACATTTGCCTCCAACGAGGGGACAATGCCTGAGGAAGCAAACCTCCGAGGGTTCGACCCCGAGGAATGACCACGCTGGTTTGTGGAGAGCAGAGAGGTGGCATTTGGGCTTCTCTGAGCTTGTGGGCTAAGCACTGTCCCGCCGTGTGGGGGGCTCACCGCGCACTCCCCAGCCGGCCACAGGCAGCTCCGGCCGCCTGCTCGTGGCCCAGGGTCTCCTTGGCTCCAGGCCCCCTGTGAGCAGAGGGTTCACGGCAGTGTGGTCGCTGCCTCCTGGAACCCGTGCCCTCGAATAGTCCCTCCCCGTGTATGCTGGACCTGGTCACTCCTTCCAGTGACAGAACGTGGCAAAAGTGATGGGATGCCACTTCTGAGAGGAGGTGACAGAAAACCGCTCCCATCCTGCCCTCTCTTGCTGCCATTGCTCTGGTGGAAACCGGCTGCCATGTGGTGTGCCGCCCTGCAGAGAAGGCCACGGGACAAGGAACCAAAGACGCCTCCCTCCGGCCGACGTCCAGCAAGGGACCGAGGCCCTCCGTCCAGCACCCTCGAGGGATGGAACCTGCCCTCAGCCCCTGAGCGAGCCTGGAAGCAAAGCTCTGCTGGTTGAGCCTCGAGACGACCCTGCAGCCTCAGCCGATGCCAGGGGGTCCACAGGGGCCGGGGGGGGGGCGGGGGAGGCCTGCAGGGCTGGAGGGGACCACAGGGCCAGAGGGGTCCACAGGGGCGGGGGGCTGCAGGGCCGGCGTGCCTGGGCTGGGCCCGCATCAGCCTGGGGGAGGCTCAGAGGGGCAAGCGACCCCACCACAGCCCCTCAGTCAGGAGAGGCGCCAGGACTAGCCCTGAGCAGCCAGCTGCGGGTCCGAGCTCTTTCTGGCTGGATCCGCAGGTTTTAAGGAGGACGTAAGTGAGAATAAACTGCCCTTCCCAGACGCCTGCGGGCTCCAGGGCCTTCTTAACCGCTGATTAATGGCCTGGCCGAGCTCACAGCCTCCTGCCACTGTCTGATCCTAAAACCCGGAGGTGCTGCTCTGAAACCGGAGGCACAGAGAAGGAGCGGCTCCCCTCTGCCCTGCGGTGAGCGACCAAAATAGATCCCCTAGAGGTGGAGGTTGGAGGGCTGGTCCAGGCTTCAGGACCCGGGAGGTTGACAGGGGGGTGGTGGGCCACAGCCGGTTCCCCGGGGCCTTTGCCCGCGGCAGCCGTTCGGGGCTCTGGGTGGCTGTGGGTGCGACCTGGCCCCCAGCCCCCAGCGCAGGCCTCCTTCCCGCTAGGATGTGTGTCCTGGGGCGGGAGGGGGAGGAGATGGCCTCCCGGTCACTGCGGGCTGCGTGCTGAGGGAGCTCTCGGTTTGGAGGTGGGAAGGCAGTGCCAGAAGCTTCTGGGCTCTGCTGCCCCTCCACTTGGCCTGTGGGGAGGCCGGGCCTGGCCGGCACCCTGCACTTCCCGCAGAGCAGGGCGGGGGCGGGGCGGTCAGAGCCCGTGTAGACTTACCTGTCCTTGCAGGCTCATCCCACCCTGGCCGCACCTTTCCCGGTGCCGTGCACTCTTGGGCTGGCCCCATCGCCTCACTTTCCACGAGGGCCCCAGGACCTCCTGAGCCCCCTGAGCCTGGGGAGGGGGGGGTCATCCTGCTCTGCTCCGGGCCCTTCCTCTTATAAGGTCGCTGCTCCTGTCGTGGGCTGCACTCATGGCCTCAGCGAAGCTGCATCACCCCGATGCCGTACGCTGGC